AATGTAACCATTTGGGGTCTGCTTCTACCTTGCACTAGTGTAACTCCTTCATGCAGTAAACTGCAAAGAGCCACACCGATTAGTCTTGAAGTCCCTCATTTACACAGAGGACAAACGGGTGGCGCCTGGCAGTGTCAAGCCTGAAACTGAAGCCATAACGTGGCACTTCAGCCAAGCCCAGAGCCCTGAGATCACAGACGCTGTGTCGGGCAGAAGCTCCTCGCCTCTCCCCCTGCAGAGCTCCTGCCCTGGGAGACTGTCACCACCTGGACAGCCCTGGTGAACCTGAGAGGACAGGGCAAGGCAGCAACGGCAGCTGTGCCACTAGCGCAGGGCTCTGGCAGTAAAAGAAAGACCCCCTGGTATCTGCAGGTGGGCAGAGCTCAGAGAGGCTCCCTTCCCTCCAGTGGGGTGCTGGGACACCCGGCTTTCCACCACGGTCTTTGTGACCAGACATATCCTAGCCAAGGGATGTGCAAATGTCAGGACCCGAGGCCAACCTCCTGTGAGTTAAACTCTTGACAAAGGAACAAGCTTCAAACGGATTAATCAGTGCTGTAGCACAGCTGCCCAAGGCCGTGTGCAGTAATAAACTGGTTTTGTTTGTTTTTTTCCTCTTCAGTTTTAATGTTATGTGTAATATATTTAACCCCTTATTTAAATAAAACTTGTTTTCAGAAACACCTGGAAAAAATACCTGTTTTCTAAAAGTTGCCAACAGTTTTGTGTCATTGGAGGGGAGAGCTCAGCTCATCTGGAGGTAGATACTCTCGGTTCTAGGAAAAACCACACATTTGATTTGCGTCATTTGAGTCACACCAACGTAAGGTAAGATCTCAATATAGCCTGAGTGACGTCATTTAAAATTTATCAGCCACCTAATCAGATGGCTCATTTTCCTGTCATTTTATTTCTCTTTTGTCTGCACACTTGTCCTGGAGTTGTCACTTATCCCCTTTTGCACATGAAGAGCCCCCGGGCCTGGGCAGGCCTAGGCAGGCAGCTTAGACTAGATGACCCCACCCCCTGCAAAGGAGCAGCCGCCTGCACCGGGGTGGAGACACCTGCCCCAACATGCGCCGCCAGAGCCGCATTCGGGTCTTTGGGTCTGGACCCTGAGGGCTTGGACAGTTGGCTGAGAGAAGCCAAGACACAGGGTCCCGCAGGCGGGGCAGCTGCATGTGGCGGTGGCCGGATACTACACAGTTGTACGAGGCAGCCCTGAGGCTATACTAGGGGCTGGTGGCCATGTGGGCCACGTGTGTCCAGAGAAAGCCAGTCTCAGGGAGGAGAGCAGAGCAAAGCACACAAAGCACGAGCGAGGACAGTACACGAGAAGGGAGGCGAGAGCGGCCCCTGAGAGCCGACGTCACCTCCCCGTCCTGACAGCTCCCGTCCCGAGACTGCAGCTCTGGCCTGGCGCGGGAACCTTCCCTCACTCGCCACGCACGCAGGTGGCTCTGTGTCTTCATTAGCCTCAGGGTGGGGATGTGGGGACGGTGGGGAAGGTATTTACCTTTTTAATCTCACTTCTTCGCTCTAGTTGCCCAGTAGTTACACCATTTGGAGACGATTTTACGGCACCCACAGCACGTGAGACGTTACGGCACCATGGGCTGATTCTGCCGGGGGGAACTGCTTTGCAATCACGCAGAACCACTACGGGCCGTTTTCCACGCCGAGAGAGGCAAACCCATGCTAGCCTCACTCCTTCTCACTTCCTCAAATGCCTCACCCTCCCGAACCGACCAAGACACGCAGCGCATATAAGATCAAAGGAGGGAAAGTAACTCAAAGTTCGTCAGGTGAAAGCTGGAAAGTATGTTTTGACCACACTGTGACGTTAGACGTGCAGGAACCCCCTAAGTAGCGCTGCACTCTCGGAGACCACACCAGAAGCAGGGGCCGGCCGGACCGGAAACTTGGCAACTTGGCAACCCGCGGTCCAACCACTAAATGCAGAGCTCAGGTTTCAGGCACTGGGGAACGATGGTCAGAAAATAGCCATAATTTCAGTAAGAGAAAAGGGAATAAACATCTATTAAGTAGTTTGTGCTAGCTTTAAAATTAGGACTTTGTTTAATGTGCTGCTTTAAACCTCAACAAAACTCTATGGGTACACAAACATTTTTTTCTTAAAGGACCAGATAATAAATATTTTAGGACTTGTGAACCACACACAGTCCCTATCTAAAACTATTGATTTGTCATTTGCTTTGTTTACAACTTTTTAAATAGGCAGAAACCATGCTGAGCTCATAGGCCATAAAAACAGGGTAGGGGCCTTCAGCTGTAAATTCAGACATTTCCAGTTATATTTAAAGGTTTTCAGGGATGGGTATCTCACCATTTTCCAATGACACTCACTCTATAGTTGGCTTCTTCTAAAATCATTTGTCACATTGAACCAAATTTTCTTTTTCTGTTTTCCCACTTGTAACTACTTCTGACATCAAGAGTTGGCAAACTTATTCCTCATAAGTTTTTTAAATAGACTAAGTTTTCCCTTTTCAGGTAAACGTTCCCATCAAGTTCATCCTACATTGATATGAAATGGTTTCCACACTCTTTACTATTTTGAATGCCTCCTTCTTGGAATCTCCCTGACAAGAGCCTTCCTAAAATGTGGCTTCCAGAATTTGCACAGTTCTAGAAGATTGATGCGAACACTGTAGACTCATTTGAACTATTATGTAACCTAAATTGGGCCAAATGTTGATAATAATACTTCCTAGGCTTAGATGCATTGTTTTTGTTTTGGCAGCTCTTGTCATTTGGGGATTGTGGTAATTTCCATCTAAAATTGCAAACGTTTATTTTTGATAAACTTTCAAATTTCTGTCATCAAATACAGCCTCAAAATTTCAGGCAGGGCTCAAAAGTCATGGCATGAGTGAATGGCAGTGAATTCTTCCTATTTCTGCGCAGTGAGCACAAACTGCTCTGAGGGGTGGGACCAAACCCTTGCATGTATGCAAAGTATGGCTTGCAAAGGTGAGGTCACCTGCAGCACTATGTGGAGCCCTAATGCCCATCTCTTCCGAAGGGGACTCATGACCAAGACAGGCTTGCAGGACAGAGCGAATGACTCTTCTCCTGCTCACGCTAATGAATTATGTCCGCCCCAGGAAACACCTGCAGGAAGGGAGCCATCTGCCGGTGCCCTCCCCATAGCAGCTCATCCCAGCATCTTTCTCGGCTCCCCAGCAGCAGGCTGGTGGGTGATGACAACCAGAAAGAAATTTGGGGGGAGACAAAGGAAGCAAGTTGCGTGCTATTAGGGAATTCAGTTATAGCTGAAGATCTTATCCTTGGCTTGGCATCACGAAGCACTTTTGAATGCTGGCCAGTGTGAAAAACAGGGTGTTTCCTCCCCAAATCCTCCTCTTATGGATAAGAGCTCCCAAAGCAACTTTAAGACTCCTACCCTATTTTGCAAACTAAAATGTGAGTAACACACGATCTATCTCCTTATGGAATTCCAGTGCTTTCCCAGGCTGTCATACTGTCTACTGCTGGGAAATAGACTAAGAGATGTGAGACGTTTCAGGAGTGAAGCAGGAATAGCCTTGAGGTCTAGAATAGCTCCAGCTGCACGTTATCTGCTGGGCCGGCATTCTAATCAGCTTCTCTGCCAAGGGCCCAAACCAAGCTTCTGCTCTGCAAAAAAGCTCAAGGCGATGACCTGCAGCAAGAAAAGAAACGCTGCTTTGCAAACGTCCCCTGACAACAACGCCCCCTTGTCGGAAGCAGCTTCTATTTTGTCAACTAACATGTCCACAGATTCCTTCAAGGCAAAGACCTGCAAAACCCCTGAAACTTCTCACATCTCTTAGTCTATTTCTCAACAGTCTATACTTACTTTACCATAGAAGGGAGGTAGTGAAATCTGAAGGAAATAGACATCACATCCCCATCACAAAGGCCCTGCAAAGCTACTCGTCTCCTCCTCGTACACTTGACCTGCAAACCCACCAGACACATCAGGATTCACCTCAACGTAGGGCTGAAAATAATCCCCTCCGCGGGCCTGGGCCGTGCCCTGCAGTGGGATGGTTTCCAGAGGGGTGTGGCCAGAGGCCCCAGAAAGTGGCCGCCTCCTACCCACTTCCGCCCCGCTTCTCTTCCGCTGACAGCTTTAGGGAAGAAGACAAGCCCGTGGCCGCACAGCGCTGCCGAGGGATGTGGAGGCACCTCGCGTGTGGGAAGGACACCATGCTTTGAAAACAGTCAGTATAAAGTGTCTTTAAACAAACCCTCTCATGCTGTAGTCAAGAGACACAGGATGCTGCTATTGCAAGGAGTAGTTATTGAAGGAAAGAAAAAAAGAATTTTTAAAAGCAGGACTTTTGCCAGGCGAGGTGGCTCACGTCTGTATTCCTAGCACTCTGGGAGGCCGAGGCGGGCGGATTGCTGGAGGTCGGGATTGCCCCGTCTCTACTATAAATAGAAAGAAATTAATTGGCCAACTAATATATATAGAAAAAATTAGCCGGGCATGGTGGCGCATGCCTGTAGTCCCAGCTACCTGGGAGGCTGAGGCAGGAGGATTGCTTGAGCCCAGGAGTTTGAGGTTGCTGCAAGCTAGGCTGATGCCACGGTACTCACTCTAGCCTGGGCAACAAAGTGATACTCTGTCTGAAAAAAAAATAAATTAAAATGAATAAATAAATAAATAGATAAAAGCAGGACTTTTAAACGATTTGTGATCTCAAAGGTTAATTCACCTGGAAATGTACTGGGCATGTCCCCACAGTGGCAACAAATGCATTCTCCACGTGGGTTTGGAAGGACTGCCCCTCAGGCGAAGGGCTCCCATGGCAGCCGTGCATGGCAGGGCTGGATCTGGAAACTCAGCCTCCCCAGTGTCCGGAGCCCAGCGGCGTCCACAGGGAGATGCGCGCCTCCCACCGCGGCCGTGTGCAGAGTACCTGTCCCCAGACCCTTCTGCAAGATGTTAATGAACAGCACCTTTATCCAAGAAGTCCCACACACATTTATCTTGTGAACAAGTACAAATTCAGCAATTTTAATCAATATTCTTGCAGACAAGTGTGGATATGTATATGCATATATACATATATATATCAAAATTGAGAATTTACAAATAAGATTTGATACATTTAGTCTAGCAGTGGGTAGGTCCATAGAATAAATCTCAAGTAGGATATATTTTCTTTGGCGATGTTCTTAGTAATTCAGTTCTACTGCATACAAAGAGACCTGAAGCTTAAATTCAGCTAGTTTTGGAGGAGTCCAAAATGAGAAAAACAGAGAGCGTGTAGCATTCCATAAAGCAAGCACAGTGTGCTTATGCTGTTTCTGGGAATACGAAAGTGCCCGAGTGTTGTGCCTAAACGGTCTGGAAATCACACTGAATCAGCTGCTGGTTTCGGATGTCTCTGGGACGTGTTACCATAAACAAAAAACGTGGAGAAGCGAAGTTAACAGCAAAACTGAATCCTGTTCACAGTCTAGGCCGAGAAATGGGGCCGAGGTCCAGACTGAAGATGACCAGAATGTCCAGTGTCCACCCTGTGGCCTTCCTGACAGCTGGGCAGCCACGGCGGGGCTGGGGACGCCGTCCGTCTTCTGCTCACAGCCCCTGTGCAAGGGAGCCCACCGGGCCGGGCGGGGCTGGGCGGGGCCGGCTTGCAGAGCGATAGTCCCGTGGTTACCACTTTCCTGGGATGGAGACCCCACACTCGTACCAGCCCACGTAGTAGTAGGGGGTGCCAAAGCCAATCTGGCCGAAGCTGACGGGCTCCTGGCGATACTGGCGGTAGTAACCTGGACAGGCCACGGGAAAGGGAGGAGGAGAAAAGGCATCAGAGGAGCCTGAGCCAACGGGGAAAACTCTCATCCTTGCAAGCGCTTTGCAGACAGGAGACCCCTGCTAGGCTGCTCTTATGACAAAGTGTGACTTCCAAACAAACCGAGGAGTTTTTATGTGGGGTCACCAGGCCCATGAGGTTTATCCCAAGAAGCTCTGTGGGATGATCCAGTCCCCACGCGTGTGTAACATGGGCAGGAAAGAGTGATCATCAGCGCCCTGTCTCTTTCTCTCTCTCCACGAAAGAAGACGATTTTAGCCAGTCGCTTGTGAGCAGTGGCGTGGAGGACAGGCCCTGGGTTGGGCAACAATGTTGAACGAGATCCCACCTGGCTCTCATAGAGCCTGGGGCCTCAATCCTCCCACCTGCCCGCATTTTAATCCTCTATCTTTAATCCCTAGAATCTGTGGTGGACTTTTAGCTCTTTCTAGGCACTGTCTCAAAGGAAAGAATCCTGTAATATTTCTGACCATTTCTCCCTTTATGTAGAAGGGCTGCTTCAACCTCCTCAAAGTGTTTCTGGAAACCCAACCACTGCTCTCACTCCTTGGCTCTGTTTGCTTCTGCCAAATAAATGGCTGCCTGCCACCCTACAGCCAGTGTACCGGACACCCCACACCTCTGTGCAGAGCCAGTGCTGTGACTGCAGTCACAGAAACACAGGGGGACACGGATAATGCAGGTAACTGCAGCCCTGGGGGACTGCAATATCCTGAAAAAAATTACTTGCTGTGATGGTTAATTTTATGCATCAACTGGGCAAGGCTAGACATTTGATCCAACATTACTCTAGATGTTTCTATGAAGTATTTCTTAGATGACATTAACACATAAATCACCAGACTGAGTTTAGCAGATGACCCCACACGGGCTGGCCTCACCCAACCTGCTGAAGGCTGAATAGCTAAGGATTGGCCTCCCCTGAAGAGGAGGGAATTCTGCCTCCAGACGCCTTTGGACTTGAACTGCAGCATCAGCTCTTCTCCAGCCTGACAGCCCACGCGGCGGATTTTGGACTTGCCGGTCTCCAAAATTACACGAGCTGATTGCTTAAAATAAATCTCTCAGTAGATACAAGGGTCAGTCCTATCGGTTCTTTTTCTCTGGATGAGAGAACCGTGACTAAAACACTTACTTTACCGTTTTGTATATTTTACTATTCTTTTTAATTCTTTGAAAAAGGATAATCAATGTTCCAGCCAAGAATGCCTTTTTCCCCAAGCTAAAAAATGTGTTAGATCAGAACATCTCATGTCCTGAAAATGCCTGATCACTAAGGGCTGAGTGCATAATAATAAAAAAAAGTGCTGGAATTCATTCAGCCACTGTGTTTATTTTTTGGAGAGTTGCAAAAGTTATAATGGACTACAGGTTGGTAACCTCTGAGATTAGCATACTTGTCCTCACCACATCGTGCCATAATCAAACAGTCGATACTCCGGCTCCTGAAACTACCACTGCGGGTTTGTGTGTGTCCCTCTGTGCCGTCCCTGCCTTTGCTCGTGCCGTTCCCCATGTGGAAAGCCCTCCACCCTCTGCACGCTCAGCCAGTCCATCAGACTCAGCCTATGCTCTGCCTCTTCCGGAAACCTTCCTTAACAGCCTCAAGAGATCTGTCTCCTTTGAATTCATAGAGTGACTATTATGTGCACAGTCACCTGACAATGGCACAATCACATGGCTCCTGTCAATCATCTATACTTGCAGGTGTTCACTCTTAGTTACCTTTTCACATATCTCTTTTCTCCTTCCAGTTGTGGAGCATGTTTGTGACAGCAGAGACGATGCCTTATATAGTCCTTTGTAGCCCTGCTTCCTCGAGGCTCACCCCACGCCCAGCACATGCAGTGTTTTGTCGATTCTTTATTTTTATGATCCAAAGTGTTCCCAACATCCATATTCCAGTGATAAAACAAAGGCTGAGCTACAGTGAGTTTCCTCCTCAGGTTAACCCTCCTCTTGCACCCCCCAGCGTAATACAGCAGGCACTTGTCTGTGTTACCTTGAATGGTAGGGAGGGCTTCTACATAGGACTGAGGCCCTGTTCTTCCATCAAGGTGCGAATCCACAAATTGGCAGTGGTCTTCACCCCTTCCCCAGCTGTCTCCAATGCTGTAGAATGTATCTGCATAAAGGAATACACTGAGTCAGTGGCTAGTCAAAGACTGCTCAGCTGGCTTAGGAGTCTGCACAAGCTTTGGAGATCATTTGAATTGGATACAGAAACCGTGTATGCCATACTTTCCATATCTGAAAGGTGGTGATAACATCACCATTTTATAAATGTTCTAAGCATTTAGCAAGATCATGCTATGTATGCTAAATACTTAATGAAGGTTCACTAAGTGGAAATCACAGTATTAATATTATGGGCAGTTTCAGCCTGTAAATGATAGATCTTTCTACTCTTTAGTTTTAAAAGAATAGAGAAAACTATGGGAGTCAGAGAATATATTACAAAATAGTTACGAAGGCAGGCAGGAAGGTCAGTAAAAAGAGAAGAACCTATTTTCACGTATAGCTGGGAGGGCGTGTCTGTGGTGTGGGGCGCTGTCCGTGGTGCTGAACCACGGCTGCACAGTAGGGCGAAGCTGTGTCTCCCAACCCTGGGTCACTGGACGTGGCTGTGCAACCTCTCCTACGAATTCTGAAGCAGGCAGGGAAAAGAGTGGCGGTGGAAGAGAAAGGAAAAGGTAAAGAGAGATAAACAGACATGGCTGTCGGGAAAGGCACCTACACAGAAACCACTGGGGTGGGGGATGGGAGGGAACATGTTGTTTTGACACTGTCTTTAAATGATCATTCCTAGCAAGAAAAAATAATTTAAAAATCAAAAAAATCTAATCAGTGATAAAATATAAACAAGCTGAGGATAAGTATTAAAAATGTATATACTAAAAAATAAAAAGTTGTGCAGATTTTGAATAAAAAACAAGTTTGCATAGCCAGCTGGATAGAAATGGCATTTCGAAGTGTTACTAGTTCAAGGTACTCATGTTATTCTTTGTTTTAAGCCTCTGCCATAAGGAGGACAATGTGATTCTTCTTTGGACACAGAACCAGTAGTATTGCTGATATATGTTTCTCCACCTACACTTTTCCTCTGTAAAGTTGTGGCTGTAGCAGGGGGCTTTTCTTCCATTCTTCCAGCTTACACTACTCGTACCTATTATTATTGAATTAATGGTAAATAAAGTAGGCCATTACATTTCTAACATAATCTTGGACCTCATTCTTAAGACATAGTAGATTTTTTCAAACATATTTTTGGGTGCCAATGTAAAAATCAGCCTCCCCAAAGTAGAGCCTGTGAAACTGGTTTGAAGTTGAGGCAGAGCGAGCCACGATGACGGATCCAGGCCTCCAGTGCATTCTGATGCACCTGCTGTGTCACCTTAGCTCCTGATAAAATACAAGTTTTCCATCCCTTTCAGACCACCCATCCTCAAAGACCTACCTTTCAGGTTGTCACTGAGGTAGATCTTATATCTCAGTGAGTTACAAAGAACGACTCCCACAAACTTTCGATACCACGTCCGCTTCACATACTGCCGGCCGTGGCAGTCCGTGTAGCCGGGGTCGTGTTTGAAAGCAAACGGGATCCAGATGGGCTCGCCGCCTTGACAACACAGAGCACAGCGCTGAGGTATGACGTCGTCACATGTGTTTATCTTTGCACAAAGTACCAGGAAACTGGACTTACTCACTGGGCCTTCCCCTCCGTGCAGGGTTTTCTAAGCAAAGTTTTCCCACCCTCTTCCTCTTTCTCTGTCTTTTTAGTGCTAAAGTATAATGGAGAATGAACGGCGCCCTTTATCCAAACATATTTAAGGTATTTGCATTTCAAGAAGGTATGCTCAGAGTTAGCAAAAGCCTTTTAAGCCTTAAGGAAAATAAGCTGTCCTGGCAGAGCTAATCTCTTGGGCCGTGCTCTCCTATCCTCACGACCCTCAGCACAGACTCTGTGTCCTGCTACTTATCAGACCTGTCTTGCACTTAAGCAACAGGCCTTTCCCACTTTGTATGAAAAACAAAGCAAAACATCGTTGTACACTTAATGCATTTTGCTATCTTTTCAGGAATTTAAAATATTCAAAGGGGTTATGTAAACAAAGCATCTATTTCATAGATACTGGCTACACTATAATGGATTTTCATAGATATTACCTACTATGGCACTATTAAAAAATTCCCAGGTCATTCTCTTCCATAGATCAGGATGAAAAGTACAAGAAAACCATAGAAGTTGTCAGAAAGTTATGAAAATGCAAAAATGGTCCAGTATTTCTACTTGTGAGTAATCATAGCAATCTCATATTCAGTAGTCAACTTAATTACCAGAATGTCAAAATTATGAAGAAGAGAAACTTACCAGGTGGCCTCACAACAAGCAGAGGATTGTCTGTAGAATGAAAAAGAAATAATTGACTTAGCATCATATTTCACAATCACACAGTTGTTGAAATGTGCATTGTAATTTCAAGAGCTAACCTAACTAGAATAAAGAAAAAATAATAAAGTTTATTTGATAGATGCCAAAGTTTTTCCTCAGTTTTTGTTTTCTAAGCATTTTCTTTTGAGAAATACTCTTTTCTAGTTATACTGTCTTGCTATTTACCTAGAAGCTGTGGGTTCCTGAAAGTAATAAGATTTTGATACTGGGTGTTATAAAATAATTCAATATTCTTTTTTAAAGTCTATCTTTAGAAAACTGGTGGTTTCTTAAAAAAGTAAGCATGTGCCTATTACAATCCATCATTCTACTCTTGGGTATTTACCCAAAAGAAATTAAAACATACATACTTGTCCATACAAGTACTTGTATGTAAATTTTGATAGCACCTTTGTTTGTAATAGCCAAAAAATAGACACAACTCAAGCATTTATCAACAGGTGATTGGACTAGATACACAAACTGTGACACAGCCACACAATGAAATACTGCTCAGTAATACAAGGGAAAGAATTATTGATACACACAACAATATGAATGGGTCTCAAACTGGTAATGCTGAGTGAAAGAAGCCAGTCAAAGGAGTTCATACTGTATGATTCCACTCACAGAAAAATCTAGAACGTGCAAACTACAGTGCCAGAAAGCAGATGTGAAGCTGCCTGCACACAGGAGGGAGAAGGGGTCCCGTGGGGGCTGGGCAGGCTGGATTGCACCGCAGCAGGAGGAAGCAGTGGAGGTGACCAATGTGCTCCCTACCGGGGCAGTGGTGATGGCTTCATGCGTATAAACACACTTCGCGATTCACTAAGGTGTGCATTTTAAGTCTGTGCAGCTTGCTGTATGCCATTTATACCTCAGCAAAGCTCTTTTTAAAACGTGTCTATGCCTTAGCCCAAATAATGCCATTTAAGAGAACACGAAACTAGCTTTTTAAAGAATTCTGCTTTAGAAAGAAAAAGTTCATTTTCATAAATGTCATGGACTAGGTAAATCTGGGCCATTCTTTTTTTATTTTAGAAAAATTGTACAGTGAATTGCTCTTTTAGGGTTTATATCCTGTGGATGTTATCAGCTGTGTAGGTTCAGGGAACTCCACCATGATCAGCACAGAGTACCTGCGTTACCCGCGGGTCTGCCTGTGCCGCCCTACGTACAGACCATTCACTTTGACATCGTCCACCAGCAACAAAACAGAGGGACACGCTGCAGCTGTCAGTGTAAAATGCTTGCTTCACTCTCCTGCTCTGAACCTCAAGGTCAACCCCACATACTCCATGGCGGGTGGAGGGGAACAATGCAAAAGGGCCACAGCGAAAACAACAAAAACCTGACCATTTACAGTCACTTCACAGATTAATTTTTAGATTATGTGTGGCAAATATCACAGTTCAGTTACGTGACAATTCCTGTTGCTCACCTAAGCTCTTTCAGCAGGTGGCACACAATGGAGAGAGTTGAATAAACTGAACCAAGATGACGGGAGCACTTGTCCAAGTTCCACCTGCATGAGCGTCTCCCGGGAGCTCACTGGCAGTGAGTCACCTGGGTCACACCCAGACATTTTTATCAGAGGCTAAGTGGGGCCTGGAATTTTCATCACCCACCCCTTGGAGATGATAAAGGATGAGCTGGGAGCTTTCTTTGGGGAAAAGGGAGAAGACAGCTGTCTTCCCGAAAGTTTACATCGCAGTCCCAGAAATTACATGTATTCATGTATCACTCTTTACTCTCAGATTTCAGATCTGTGTTTATTGATAGCTTTTTAGGTTTGAATTATTTTTTTTCCATCAACCTTTATCATGACAATTCTGATAGTTGCAAAAGGTCCACTGTGTTCTTAGGAAATGCAGCCATAAACACAGACACATTCCTTAATTTAGCAAATTAACCGCCGATAATGGTTTTTCTCTTTGTCATTCTTAATTACTAACAAGAAACATATTCTTTAAATAAAATAGATAAAAACACTTTTGAGGTCCTTTGCCTGAATTTCTGCTACAAAGCATATTCTTATGAAATATGCTTTTCTCCCACATACTTTGATTCAGTACATTTTAAATCATTATAGGTAAAAATATCTTCCAGTGACAAATTTTCTGGGGTCGGGCTACATATGGAAAGTCATCTAACCAAACAGAAGCGAGAGGCATCTCGGTGCAGAACCAGCTCGGCTGGGTTGGTCTGAACCCAGTCTGGCTTCCTATACAGAAAAGTTTTAACCTGAGAACTGTCACAGTGGGCAGCTCTGCCTCAGCCCATGGGCCGCAGAAACATTTATGGAAGGGTCAGGGAGCTCTGCTCACCAGCACCCCAAAATGCAAGGGCATGCTCTGAGTGATGTTGCTTGTGTGTGAAGGACGTTTTCACTGAACACTCAATATTAAGTAAAGACATCTCTGCTTCCCAGCAGAGGAGCCATCTCAGAGACTTGGCCCAGTGCAGAAGCAGCTGCCTCTCAGACCACGTGACTAGATGCTCTTGAGCTGTTTGCAATAAAAAAAAATTTTTTTTTAAACGAACGCTGCGACTAAATTTCGTACAGTTAGAGTTGAACTTATCTTTCCTACATGGTTAAAAACTAGATTTTTTTCCTTTCATTGGAATTTGACTTTTCAGTTCCTCAGAGAGCCAGTGAAGACTACTTTTAATTTTATTATCCAAGTTTTAACCCAGCACAAAGAAAATAATGTTTATTTTGGAAAGAGATATCCAATGTGAGCTTATTAAATAGAAAAGTAAGGATTTTATTTCTTCAATGTTTACTCTATTGCAGTCATTATTCTAGATTTTTTATTTCATTTTTTAGGGAAAAAAACAAACAAACAAGAATGTGAGTCACCCGTACCTGATTCCGTAACAAACGACACCGAGGGGCTGACGGGTCCATAGCCGTGAGGATTCTTGGCTTGAACTTTAAAATAATACCTGGAATTGAAAAAAAAACATCTTTTGAAAGAGAAACTTATTTGGTTTCTGTGTAACGAAACAGATTCCCAAACTACTGGCAGGTTTTGAGTCCGAATTTTTACAATTGCATACGCCAATGATGGTTCTTTGTGTTTTTCTGAACTTCCTCGTTTTCGGGTGACATTTCTACATAACACAATTACCGCGGCAGAGCTGCACGCCTGACGGGAGCAGAGCGGCGTATTGGACAAGCGGGCTGGACAGCGTGCGCTCCTCCGAGCACCTGGACCCCCCCTGCCCGGCGCGGGCTCTCCTCGGCTCACCCCTGATGAGACGTCCCCTCTGACCCTGCCCTCGTCACAGCCTGAGACCCAGGTCCCAGCTGGAGCGCGACAGCTCCAGAAAGAGAAGCTGAAGCGGCAAAGCACTACAAGCAGAATTCAAATCGCAACCTGGTTCTTATCACTAGAGTCCACAGGGAAAAGCAGAATGTTCGATCCAGCAATGATGCAACCCGTCGTTGGCAGAGAGAGGGCGGACGGGGCCGGAGGCTGGCCTCTGCCGTGGAACTAGCACAACAAGGATGTGTGGGGCGCACGAGAAGTGCTATGGTTGGCTCTGCAGCTAGGAACGGGCTGCCTTAAAAGTCACTGAGTTTTGAGCTTCTGTGCCTCAAGGAAAGAAAAACATAGTCCAGGAAAGGGAACAGGAAAAGGCCTGGAGAGAGAGGCTTTGCTGTGGAGCTGAACTCTGCCTTGGCACAGAGAATGTGCTAGAAAGCACACTGTCTGAGTCAGCTAGCTGGTCTAGAGGGAGACTGAGTCTCCACGCATCTCGCTTTGCTCTTACAGCTAAAAGACAAGGAGTGGTGGCTAGAAAAACACTGGAGACCAACACTGCAGTTATGACCCATGACATTTATTCCTAATCTTTGTGTTTTCCTCCTCTGGGATTCCAGATGTTTTATGTGCTCTCTTAGTACTTAGCTACTCACAGGTAAAGGGGCATAAAGAATCCTGGCCGTGGTGGCTCTGTCATTTTAGAGAGTTCATAAAGAGCCTTTTCCTTTGGCTTTGAGCCAGCAAGAACATCACAAATGTTACAGAATTGTTTATTTAAGTCAGGCACACAGATTATATGCACTAATTAAAATGTGCTAAATTTTAAAAAGGTGAAATATCTACGTGTAGAGAACAAATTGTTACGGCTTTGGCAGCAGCGGCCCTAGCATGGAGCCTTCTGGGCTGCTGAGGTGGCCAAGGCCTCGCAGTCCATAGAGCTGTTTCACGTTGCGTATGATTAAACAGAAAGCAAAGAAAAGCCACTGGGTAAAATTAGTCTTCTTATATCATTCACATTTCATTTACAAGTATTCTTTTTTAAATTTCAATTTTTTAAAAAAACATATGCACAATTAAGAACATATGAGTTTCCAAATCTCAATTCACTCAGCAGTTCGTGTTTTCCCAGTTGCGCATACTTTTCATTCGGCGGTTGTGGAGTTATTTAAGGCAAACTCCGCAGGCCGTTCAGGCGGTGGGTTTGGCACACAGCGGCGAGCCTGGTCAAACTTCACAGATACTTTCTTTTAAAAAAGGGGAAATCAAAACTCAAAAAGGACACACATCCAGGGGCTGCAGGGGACATTTCTGCTAGAGAGTTCTCAAGCCGTTGCTGGACCATCCTGACCCCCTGTCCCGAGCTCCACAAGGGAAGCACTGCTGTGCAACTGGGAGGTGGCAAAGGGACGGCCACAGGCTGAGAGAGCCGCGCAGATGCGTGCGTTTGCATCGATTCTGTTTCGCCACTGACACCTAGGAATTCTCCAAACCTCCCTCCCCTACCGAGACAGTGATTCTAGCCCTCCAGAAACTCACATGTGCCAATTCCAAAGACAGATTTCCATTTGAACTTCACCTAATGTGTCAAAGAAATTTCAATACACTGAGCTGAAAAACAACATGCAATTATGAAAAAAGTAAAATTCCCATTTTCAAAAACCGCATTACGCTTTTTTTCTATGGACTAAAACATGTTGTTTCATACTCCGAAAGGTCTCCAAGTAACAAACGCAATCGCGCCTTGCTGCCTTGCCTTCCTGTGTGAGCTTTTGGCACCTTCTTTTGAAAAGCTTCAATAGTGACAAATCTGTGTGCTTTAAGTGTGGGTTTAAAATACGCAGACTCCACAGACTGATGTGGGGCTCAGGCCGGCGGATGCGGCAGATAATGCCCGTTCCCTGGGTTGTAGTGAGCATGAGGGCGCAGACGCCAAAGTGAGCCCCTGCAGTCGCTCTGCATTCCAGCGATGCCAGAAAAAAATGAGTGTCCTCACATCACAGTCCCGCTTTCTTGGCTACAGAAACTCAGCAGCTGTGCAGTGGCTTTGGGGAAATGCTTGCAGGAGCAGCGGCAGACCTCATGGGCAAAAGGTAGAAAATCGGCTGAGATGCGACCAGGGACCCAGAGGACTCTGGCACGGGTCTGTCCGGCCTCCCCCACCCTCGCCCGACACTCCTAATGGCCTCCTTTGCTTCCCAGACACACCCGTCTCCAGGGCACCCTCTCTGCCTGCAGCGATTTGGCCCCACGGCACCCACCTTTCCTCCAGAGTACCTGCTTCTCATTGTCCAGTCCTCACTTCCCCTGAGAAGCCGCCTGACTGCCTTCTCCACCCCACGCTCGGAGGAAAATAAATCCCCCCGCTCTGTACTCTCCAAGCCCGCGCTCCTCCCTCGCCACACCGACCCGTGGGCGTTTATGAAAAGAGTCTGTCTCCTCCGCCAGAACACAAGCCCCTCCAGGACGCGGCGGTGTGTTCTCCACCCACCCTGCGCCAGCCTGGGACGGGCGCCCGGCGCTGCACACAGACGCAACAGGCACCGACTGCATGCCTCCTGCAGGAAGGAATACTGCACCATCCCACACAGTCACGGCCCGACGTGACTCAAAACGCAGCCTCAGCCCGGCAGCAGAGGAAGGAGGCCGTGGAGGGAGCACTGGACGGGGGGAGTCCCAAGGCTGGGTTCAAGCTCCATGGCAAGTAGCCCCGGGACCAAACCTCCTGAAGGCCTTCAGCTCTTTGACACTGCGGCTGTGCTACAAATTGTCACTCTGCATACAATAAAGCCAATGGATGTGAACCCCATTTTCTCTAGTTTTGATATTTTTGTTTTTCTCTAGTTAATCAATTTTCCATTGCTATTAGGGAAAAATAAAGAAGAGTGCTTTCTCAGTTTCCTGTTTTGCTACTTGCTATTTATTTGCCAGATCCTGAGATGCATCACGGTTTCTGAAAGCTCAGTGCAAGAGAGCCCAACCGACGCGTCCAAGTGTCCCGAGGAACATCCTCAGCTCGATCAGCAGTCTCCCTGTGCCCTTGGCTAGTGTCCGGATTCTACCCCTTTCCCACACTTCCATTTCACGAGCGCATTTTAGTCCAGCCTTCTCCGTCCCCTACCCGTGTAGGGAATGAGAGGCCTGGGCACCATCGTCACTTTGGCTCTCTGCTTGGCACACATGGCGGCTGGGCACAGTGGCGCATGCTTGAGCCGTTTGCTCTCGCAGGCAGGAGAGCGATCGCTAAACACAGCAACTCCACCAGCCCGTGGCGGCTTGAAATTGGCCAGGGTGCGAGTATTTACACCACAGAAACTGGAAAACGCTGCCAGCCAGGAATTGTTTTCCAGAGAGCCAGTTTACCGGTGCACCACTGCCTGACCATCACGTTCGCCCACCAGAGCAGCTTTCCAGCGGCCACTACCATCAACACCAGAGAGCACAAAAGGGGGGTGAACATTAATTTCTTTGTACTCCTGGAAACAGGGGTACAGGGCTTTGCCTATTTCGCACCGAGGGCTGTAAACTCTGGCTTCCCGCATGGTGCTCCGGCCGGCCGCTCCCGCTGAGGAAGGCATGCTTGTAACCTTTATCCTTTTGTGCAAAGCATCCTTCTGGGATGGCCTGAGCTTCTACATCACAGAGTAGATGCACAAGTTAACTAAAATGTTTAGCAATTGCTGCTCCACGAACGTCACAAATGAAGTTGCATTGCCTAATGCCACCACGTGGGTGACTGAAAATGGACCAATTCTCCTTCAACACACAGAACAATTTTCTCTCCCCAATGCAGGTAGTGCTTAGGAAAATTGGGAATAAAATATAAACACAAACACCTAACAATTACAATCCATGCAGTAATTTCTCCTAAGAAAACTACATGACCTATGGTAAGCACTCATTGACATTCTGTGAGAACTAAGCAGAGAATTCAAAGAAATCATAAAAACGTTTTGATTAACCCTTTCATTCTCAGCCAAAGGGTATCTGTGACTGTGCACACATGGTCTCATCTTCTGTTTCTAAAAGACTGACACGTCATACCTTGTGTTTGGCTTCAGGTTCTCGATGGGCAAATGAGTCACGGATGAAGCTTGGGTGGACCACTTGTTTCTGATGAAGTCTTCATAGGACGCGCTGTACACCAGGTAACCTGAACGTGGAAACAGGGAAGAACCCAGTGAGCGCCAAGGGACCGAGTCACACAGAAGGTGTAACCCAGTGAGAACGCAGACTGAGGCAAAGCCGAGACTGACTCTGTGGGAGAAATTAAGGCACAGTAAGCCCCTCGGGACAGGGTGCAACATAATGGTGGCACCTCCTGGTGAATCCAGACGGGGACCATGAACGAAAGCTCCTCCTGACAACTTGCTAACTCACCCCTTCTCTTCCTTCTCCGTGCCCCTCATTCTCTGGCATCCCCATTCTCCTTTTGCCTTTCATTATAAAAGAAAAGGAAAGACATTAAAGGGGTGACACAGTCAGGTGCACATCTTCAGTGCACCTTCTGCGCAGAGAGAGAGCAGACTGGCTGTGGAGTGTGGGCGTGGAGGGGACAGTCCAGTTAGACAGCTCTCGCCGTGGCCAGGCGACAGATGGCAACTGCTGGATTAACACGGCCGTCAACGGGGAGAAATGAATCAGGTCCAAAGAAATTGGGGAAGCAACACTGGTGAACTGAATATGGAGGTGAGATAAAAGGAGGAGATCTGAAGGTGACTCCAAAGCTTCAGGCTGGCACAACGTGTGGGAGCGGGACTATTCCCCGCAACAGGAAACGCAGTGAAGGCCAGGCTTGAGGATCACAAGGACCGCGAGTCTGACTCTCTATACGCTGAGTCTCAGATGCTTTGGAGACAGCCCAGTGACAACGACAAGTGATTTTACTGTTTGCGTCTGATTTTACTGTGTGAGGCTCAGAGGAGAGAAGGGCCCGGCCTTGACTTATAAATCAAAGACTCATCTCCAAGAAGAAGTAAAACCACGTACATGGATGTGACTCTGTGGGAAGAGAGGACAGGGCAAGGAGAAAAGAAGACCTACGACCAAGCCTTGAGAAACCCCACCATTCAACGCCGGGGTGGAAGGGGTAAGCCCGTGTGGGCATGGGGAGCTTGAGAGAACTGGATCACGCAAGGCAAGGGGGAGGGAAAAATGGATAGCCTCAAATGCATCTGGGAGGTAAACCTGATTTAATAACGTGTGATCCCTGATTAGGGTCACACAGCTAACAGGTGGGCAAGCGGGGAGCCAGAAGCCAGACGAAGTGGGCCCTGGAGCCCTTTCTGCGCCTTTCCACGGAGGAGATTCATTCTTTTGTTCATCAACAAATATTTCATGAGAACCTGTGGAGTGCTGCTGCTCCCTCCACAGGCTCCCTCCTCCTCCGGCGACAGTGAAGTCAAGCCACGCATGCCCGGGCTGGTGCTGCATCTCACCGCGGCGCATGCAGAGGCCGAGGGACGATCACAGCTGTGCCACACCTGGCCTTGCTGCGGCTGGCATGGCTGGGACTCTTTGACTCTGGCTTCCGTCAGAACCCTGTGCTTCCCGTGCAGGGTGTGTCCTTGTGTCTGGGTTCTGAGGGCTTCGGGGTTTTGGTAATGTGTTAACACTTGCTGAACACAGCGTAGCTCGGGACTTCTCTGCGGTTCCCATCAAAACCAGTCCCAAAAGACTAACTGCTGAGCTGCTGCTGAAAAGCCGAGAGGTTATCACGCCGGTGACTCCCGGAGGAATCGCTCCTAATGAACTGATCACTTCGTTCCTTCAGGGTGACTTGGGAGGCTGCATGCAGGAACCCAGGAGTCTCGCACTGTCTGGATACCGCCTGTTTACACATTGACTTGACCGCTTGCGGAAGGAAGGGTGGCAAGGGAAAATCAGCGGCAACTCACGCAGCTACCAGAGTCCAGGTGCCCTGCAGGCGGTCCCCATGCCATGATGTTCTGTTCAGGCTTAGGGTGCAACTGTGTATCCACCTGGCTTCCTTGTTCAGCAGGTGAAAGAGCTGGTGCCTGATTTACTGACCGAGGAAGAGCTCCTGCTGTTTTCCCTCTTAGCCTTTTGGGACCTGCTGCTTTGCCTCCATGTTGCAGGGCCGGCGTCACGTGCCGAAATGTTCCACGGCAGGCAGCTGGACAGGTGTTGGCGATTTTATGTTGGGAGGGCCCAAATCCCAGCAGACACCTCACCCACACGGTTTATGCAGTGTCCTGAGTACTCATGAGTAGGGCACTGAGCTTTCGTTTCAGATTAGGTGTAGGGTATGCGAGGGGTGAGAGGACACTGAAGTCTCTAGGAAGCTTGGGACAGCTTGGAATGCATGGCCGGTGGGGCCCAGGGAGCAAGAGCACGGGCGTTTCCAAAGCCCGAGCTCTGCAGGATAACACAGAAATCGTGTCTGAGTTGTGCTCAGAGGCATTTGTTAGGAGTTCCTTGAAGGCTCTTTTTTCGCTGCAAGAGCCCTTGAGGCACGTTTCATGTGGCCAATGCTCTGGTCCTGCAGCCAACGTTTCTTCGAAGCCCCTTGGCTCAGCGTGCAGCGATATATTTATGCTAAGTAATATCTGTTATGCAAGAGATCAAAAGCTAAATGGCTTAAAATAAGATTTCCAATTATTTTTTCTGAATTGCTTTTAAAAATTGCCATTCAAACAGGCACATTCAATAAATAAAAGGGTTTTCTGGCTGTTTCGACTACAAGCTTTCCTCCTTCCACTGATTTATTTGCATTCTATTAGGAACACACTGGACTTCACAGAAATTGGTCTTAGCAGCCCATGTAGCACACACCCTGCCGTGACCAGCACCAGAGACTTAAACTCCCTAACCCTACATGCCCCCTGCACTCCCGGGCCTTTTGGCCTCCCTGGCACCGTACCCAGTGGTATTTTTTCCCTGTGTCCTTTATTCTGGCTTCGGGCTGCTGTGCAAATTCCACAACAGAAGTTATTCTTGGGATATACTTGGACATTCTTTTCTCATTTTAAGAGATAATTGGGGAAATAAAACAAAAGCAGTAGAAATGTTGAATTATATGAACTACACTAGCATAATAGCGACAGCTAATGTCAAACTCCAGCCTGTGATGCCACCATCCCCAGCCCAAGACACATACACCATCGCCACACATAGATCCTTCCCCTTATACGGCTCACAGGCCCAGGAGGAATCATTTGCAAAGGAAGATGTTATTCAAAGAAAATATCAATTCTCTTTCTATAAAAACTTATTTTAAGATTTATCCTCAAATATATCCTTGGCAGAGTCACATGAACTCATGAATATCTCAAAGGCCCAAGACCTGGGGGGCTGAAGATCCTTGGGAATTGTCCCATCACATTCAATTCCCACATAAGAAATTGAGAAGCATCCAGCCTGCTTTGGCAGCACCCAGCAGGCATGGAAAGATACAGAAGCGCAATCCCAGGGCTGAGTCTGATGCAGTGCAGCAGGAGCTCTGTCATCACCCTGGCTGCAGGACCTGGTCTTACAAGTGGCTGCCTGGACTCCCTGGCCATTTGCAAGAATATATAATGTTAGAGATGTGATGATATTTTGCACATGGGGAAACCAAGGCCCAGTAAGATGAAATAACTAGCTCAAGGTCAAGCAAATCAATCTGGGACTAGGATTCAGGACTTCTGACTTCCATCCAGTGCTCTGTACACTACCCCACAAGGCTTCCATTGCTGCCTACATTTCATCCTGTTGAAAGAAGATAGCTGCAGTCATCCATTGCCATCCTCCCATACATGCACGCATCCATCTACTCATACATCCAACCCATGCCCCCATCTATCCATGCATGCATGCATCCATCCACTCATCCATCCATCCCACCCCACATCTGTCCATGCATGCATCCATCCACTCATCCATCCATCCCACCCCACATCTGTCCATGCATGCATCCATCCACTCATACATCCATCCCACCCCACATCTGTCCATGCATGCATCCATCCACTCATCCATCCATCCCACCCCACATCTGTCCATGCATGCATCCATCCACTCATACATCCAACCCATCCCCCATCTATCCATGCATGCATCCATCCACTCATACATCCATCCCACCCCACATCTGTCCATGCATGCATCCGTCCACTCATACATCCATCCCACCCCACATCTGTCCATGCATGCATCCATCCACTCATACATCCAACCCATCCCCCATCTCTCCATGCATTCATCCATCCACTCATACATCCAACCCATCCCCCATCTATCCATGCATTCATCTGTCCACTTGTACATCCAACCCATCCCCCATCTCTCCATGCATTCATCCATCCACTCATACATCCAACCCATCCCCCATCTATCCATGCATTCATCTGTCTACTCATACATCCAACCCATCCCCCATCTCTCCATGCATTCATCCATCCACTCATACATCCAACCCATCCCCCATCTCTCCATGCATTCATCTGTCTACTCATACATCCAACCCATCCCCCATCTCTCCATGCATTCATCTGTCCACTCACACATCCAACCCATGCTTGCATCTATCCATGCATGCATCTATCCACTCATCCACCAACCCATCCCCCATCTATCCATGCATTCATCCATGCATTCATCCATCCATCCCACCCCATATCTGTCCATGCATGCATCCATCCACTCATCCACCAACCTATCCCCCATCTATCCATGCATGCATCCACTTATTCATCTATCCCCTTCTACCCCCTCATCCATGCATGCATGCATCCATCCACTCATCCATCTAACCCATCCACATCCATCCATGCATACATCTATCCACTCAACCACCAACCCATCCCCCATCTCTCCATGCATTCATCCATCCATCCCACCCCACATCTGTCCATACATGCATCCATCCACTCATCCATCCATCCCTCATGGTCTGTATTTCCCACCCTGCAGATCATGTAAACTCTGACCCTCTTCCTAGGACATACCTGTTACCACATCTTCTTGGGTGGCTTTGTCCCAGTCCACAATAACAAACGAGTGGCAGCCTTCCATAGCGACCACGGTGATATTGCGGGGGGCATGCTGAGGAGGCAGGTCACTCTTCCTCAGGTCATTTGGGATGATTTCATCCAGGCTGTCCACTTGGAAGTGATCCAGAGCATCAGTCAGAGAGCACGGGGCTGACGGGTCTTTATTCAGGTACGTCACATAAGGAGCTAGAAAGGGACAGAGATGCCCAATTGCACTGCTGAAGGCCTCCAGCATCTGCTCCACGGAGTGAGACCCACCATTCCATCTCTCCCCACCAGACAGAGGCTCCAGAGGCCCCCCGCCACAATGCCAAGTTCAAAGGCACATCCTAGCTCCCCTTAGTGGATCCGTGTGTTTATATCTTTCAATCTGATGGTTTCAAAAGATCCTACTGACAATCAGCATCGATGACTATGTCCTCAAAGTGTTTGAAAGATCCCCAAACTATAATTCAATGTAATATAGTTTCCTGCACTCAAACATTTGGAAAAGTATGAGTCAGGCCCACCCTACACTTCTCTAGCATTCTCTTAATACAGTTCATTCCTCAACTATCTTGGAATCAGAAAAAATTTATATACTGATCAAGATGTACAGCCTCTAACCTCAGCCCTGGGTGGCCTTCCTTAGAGTTTCACAACCCCCCACAACCATCTGGAGTAGCTGTGCCTAAGGCCCCGCCGAGACAGCTTTCTACAACATTGCTTCTCAGTGTGCTGACAGCTACTCGCATTTGTGGACAGGTCGAAGCCTTTTCTTCACATGTTATTTTAGTGGATACAAGATCCTGGGAACAGGGAAGGATACATACAGGCCAATAACCCCACGTTACCACCCTACTACCAGCCCTGGGTGTGCCCACTAAGTAAGGGTCAAACCGGAGACTCTCTACTGCCACCCCTCAGCTCTTTCTCATACCCCTCTCTCTAAGAAGTTAGAAATGTCAAGGAAAAGAGGTTGGGGCTTCCGACACGTCAGACTCTCAAGCACCAACGTCTAGTCATTTCTAAAATTCCATTGCATCTTTCAGTGCTCGGTTCTCATTCCCAGTTGGCTGTTAGCACTGAATGCAATAGTTAGCTTCTTTATTTTCCAGTAATTAGTCTGAAATTAGGCTGTTAGGACTTGTCGATGGATCTTATCCGAAAGTGTGGGGGAGTAGGCGATTATGCCTTACAGAGTGACAGACCTAGGAAAACAGCCAGACAACAGCAAGCCTTTCAGTGTGCAGAGGAGTTCTGCGGGAGAGTTAATAACAGCACGGCAAGCGTTTCGATTCCGGCCACAGAACTGCAGAGAGAGAAGTCAGCATTTGGAGAACGCAGCCAGGCAGCTGCACGCCATGGCCAGCATTAGTGCTTGCCTCAGGAATGCTACCTCAAATTAATACTCTTGTTCCTCAAGCCCGTGTGGTTTAGACACTCAATCACTACATCTCGGCTGGCAAGAGCTGCTTTCCGCTCATGGCAGAACATTTGTTTTGGAAACAGAAGAGTGTGATATTGGTTTAAGCTGTTGCTTGTCTCCACTTAGTAACATATTAATCCAACTGTCTCCTTAATGAAGTTCGTTAAGGGCGTGGGAAAAGAAGACTTGCAAAGAGAATGAAACACAGTTCAGTTACAGAAACATTCCTGTTGAAATTGTTTTAATTACTGAGAAAGAAGAGTAAGATGAATCTCTAAAGCCTGAATCATTGAGGCTAATGAAAATTATTGGCAATAACTAAAGAAAAACAGCTTTGTCTCTGTGATACTGCAAGCGTTAGTGCCTCAATTCTGTAACCTGCTAACCTTTTAGGAAGAATTAAGCCAACGATAGCAGATAATGCCTAGTGGTAGGTCTTGTCTTAGAAAAGCTAGCTGCAATAAAAATACTCCTGTCCCCTGGTCCTGAGGACTTGTAAGCATTTCTTACTCTCAGTCTACACAAGGCAGCCTCCCAAACTGTCCTCTGTTGGACACCAAAAGTCCTCCTGCATCCTCCCCTCCTTTGGACTTCTGCAGAAAGCAAGTCAAAATGCATCTCAACAGGACTGACTCACTAAATTACCCCAGATGGAAATTTTACTCTGGGAAAACTCAAAATGCACTGCCTTGGCCAGGCCAAGAGATTAGTTATGCTCTTCTTCAAAGAGCAAAAGTTAAAAACTCATGTTTCTCTGATTAAGGAAGTTAAACTTACCAATAAATCGTTTCTTTCCAGCCAGATCAAATTCTTCGTCAGGAAAGGAACTGATGGTGCCTTCTTCTGGGACGACCTTTGGTGTAGTTGGGGCAGCAGAGGTAGAAGGCGTGGTGGTGGCTGGTGGCCTCGAGGTCTCAAATTCATAATCTGAAATGATATGAAGGTTCTGTCATTGGGCCCTGCCAGAAAAAGGGGCATCGGTTACAGTCACGTGATGCCGTCTTAAGCCTCAGCTGTAGACCGAAACACACACCCACAGCCTAAAATAAAAGATATGCTTAGACATAGTTTGTTTCCACTAAAATACTATTTCTTCCCATTTCAGTCCTCACAGCAAAGTGGCTGCAGATAAAAGAGAGAAAGGGAAAAAGAAACACACGTGACCAGAAAAATGAAGTTTTATAACCAGAGATGGAAAGAACCTTCAAATCTACCGGTTCAGCTCATGGTGCTGGTCCAAGGCCATTCTCCACCTGCAAATTCTCCCTTTTAGAGCCACGAAAGATCACATCAGAAAATCAACTTGAATTTTTTCTTAAAAGCTACCTTCTGTGTATGGGATTTTTTTTCTGGGGAGGGAGGTGGGATTAATCCTGCTGAAAGAACTAATCCTTTAACATTTGAAAAAGAAAATGAAACTCTGCCCCCCTTTCAAACTGTTCAAAGACAATCAAGAAAGACAGTATTTTCAAAGGCGCTAGGAAATCTTCCTTTGCTTTCTGACATTTGTTGTTTTTAAGTCAGTTTTTATTTGAAAACCTTGGATTAAACCATTGCATCAAGCTTTATTGTGAATAAATAAAGCTTGAAACGTGGCATTATTCACACAGTTGTGATTTAAGACAGCTGGAGCTACGAAGAGTAGCAGAAAAGGGGAAGCACACAGGTGAGAATCCTGAGCCCCAGTGTCAAAGGCCGGCACCCGGTGGGGACAAGATTCCCACGTGAACTCCATCAACAGCACCAGCGACTTGTAAAGCACACACAAGGATCACAGGGTCTCAAGGGTAATAACGACATTAGTTACCATTCACTGAGTGACTGTTCCATGCTGCCCATGGCATTTTGTTTTCTTAATCTTATAAATTTACCCTTGCAAAGATTCTGTGTTGATAAGAAATCAACACATCTATAGCACCATATTTTTTATGTAATTAGAAAAGGAGAGAAAGGGAAGAAGGAGAAAGAGAAGAGCCAAGTGGAGGAGGGAGCCCCGACAGGCAGCTCGAGCGTCTCTAGAGCCGCGGAGTGTTGGGAGGGAGAGAACAGGAGCACACGGGACTTCTTGGGGGGCTGCGTTTGCTGTTTCTCTTTAATCACATAGGCACCTGGGTTGACTAAGCCATGCAGAGTTCTGAAGGGAGCTGCCATCAAGATCACCCACTTAGTGATTAAAAGAAGATCCTCTGATCAGGAAGGAAAGTGTTTAAATAATGCTTTAAAACCCAGTTCATACCGTCATCATATACAACGTAGGCCTCTTCCGTGGGCGTGGCCGTGTCGGTCTCCAAGCCTGAGAATTCGTCTAGTGGAGAAAGAGGGGAGGCGTCACCCACTGTTTCCCCATCAGCCACTGCCCAGGCGCGGCCCCAGGGTAACAGTTCATCCCCGGCAGCAGGGCCCAGCCTCCTTGGCTTTTGCAGAAGGAAAATCGCCAGAACACTAGAATGGAACTTTCTCTCCTCTGGGCTCAGAAAAGGGAAATCCACATGCCCTCCCCACTGAAAAGCAAACAGCCCCTCTGCCCTCCACCCTGCCCCACCAGCCCGCCCGCCCTGGGTGCCAGGGAAGGGCCTTCTCAGAGGGCAGCCAGGAGAGTGGGGAGAGTAAAGCTTGGAGCTCACGATGGTGGCAAAAATCCCCTCGCATGCGAACTCCTCTGTTCATCAACCTTCACTCCCTCCACTCTCTCAATCTTGCTCTAGAATGTTCTAGAAGCAGGGTGATTTTCCTAACTAGGCCAACTGCATCGATGGCAGTTCCCTGTGCTTTCATACTTCCCTCTAAACTCCCACACCCTCCCATCAACTCAGGAGATAAATCTGTACTAATCAGACTGCTTGATTCGCATATGAGGCTTGGAAATAATATTTCAATGATCACAAAGTTCTCTTTACGAACAGTGGCTAATAACCACTAGATAATCAGGGCTACACGATTATGCTTTAAATGCAACTTATAGAATTTTAGATGTGATTTTTGGATATCTTCCAGGAAACCCTACTTAGAACTTTTATTAAAATTCCTATAATGACTGAACTGATATTATGAGCACAAGTAACACGTGGTCAAGAAAGCGGAGTGATTTAAGCATAAGAAGGCGTTTTTTGCCTCTGTTGTCTGAGTAGTTTAAGCAGAGGTCTTTTTGAGAAGGTGTGATGGTATTGATTACATTATTCCTCTGCTTGGAGGATACAGATGCAGCTATAAAAAGGAAAACATCTCACTGTGGTTGATAAAATGTGGAGGCAAAAAATTCTATAACTCAAAAAATTCAAAGGAATTCCTTCCCTTTTTTTGACCCAAAGCCCACATCAATTACATAGAACTCGCTAAACTCGCTGCACTCTTCAAAGGGGGTGTGGTGGGAGACAACAGGAAGAAATAACCTCGATTTATTGGACGCCTTATGTGCAGCAGCTACTTTTATGTGTATATTGTTGGAGTTAATCCTCACAACAAACCCTCGAGGTTCTCCGGGCTTATAGTACCCACACTTCTCAGGCAGGGACAGCAGGGCTCTGGGAGGATTTACAACGTGCCTGGAGACACACAGATGGTGAATGACAGCAAAAACAGAGCTTGAACTTCAAGCCCTCTGGCTCCAAAGACTATGTACTTCGTACTTCATAAAACTGCCTCCACTTTTAAAAAGTTAAACTAATCAATCAAATTCTTTCTGGGGCTTACAGTGCTCTATTAGAATCATCATTCTGCAGTGCAATGAAGAGGAAATTGAGGTGGAAAGTATATAAACTCCAATATAATTATTCTACCAGCCTTTTTTTTTTTTAGCTGACTTTGAATAACATCATGAATGTGATGTTGCCAAAATAAACTCCACCGGCAGAGGACAGTGACAACCTTGCGTTGTCTGTCCCATCCTCCTGTAGGCCACGGTAAGAAGCTCCCAGCCCCCATTCAGAGGCCCAAGAGATGCTCCCTGAGGTGGTGACACAGGCATGTTCTGATGGGGCCAACGGATGTCAACGAGAAAAGTTGCAAATTATCAACCCGTTAGGGGCAGGATGGCCATTTCATGCAACACTATTAAACATGGTTTTTCCTTAAGTCATTCCAATGTCAGTATGGCTGGATCCAACACAAATTATTTCTGGGCCTGTTCAAATCGGACTGTTTTCAGGTCCACATCTCCCAGAGTTTTGGGATTATCTTGCCATTCTTTCCTGGCCTACGGTTTTCTTTCACTCGTCAATTTAATTTTTAGAAACACAGTCTTGCTTTGCCTCATTACCGGTTCAGTTTCATTTCTTCTCATTATTGCTTTTAGCCAGGCCAAAAATGAATGCACTGTGCAGCGTTTGCATCCCGGAGAAACAAGGAAAGGGGAGAGTGTACCATTTCCTTCATGGATTCTGGTGTTAATGGTAATTCCTTGAGGTGCTGAAATACTCCAGCGCCCACCGCAGGCCTCAGAAATGCAAGCCGAGATCACCTCTTGAGATGAGTGACAGTAAATCCTCTGGCGTAACGAAACAACTTGCTGAGTGATTCAGTGCTTTTTTTTTTTTTTTTAAGGCCAAATAAACGCAGGCATAATTCTTCTAAAATAGCACCATCCTGACTCCAAGTAAAAGCAACTTCCAGATATAATGAAGTATATTTACAATTTTTTTAAAAAGCTGACCACATGAATTCGCCCCACCAGGATGCCATTGTGAACCATTTGGAACTACGTAAAACTGGATGTTTTATATTAATAAGACAACCTGGCATCAATGATAAAAGCCTCAACCTCTTCACATGAAAGTAGCTGCCAGCCATCAACCGTGGTAGTGTAGTTTATTCTCTTCAGTAGTTTATCCAAATAGTTACGGAAAAAATGAGTGAAAAATGTCACCAAAGAATTAAGCCCTTAGCTCCTGAGATAATCATAATATATGAAAAAAAGTGTTCTCAGTAGAATTTTAAAGAAAAAAAGAGTTTAAATGACAGCCATTTGACATTCAAGTATGTTTGCACATGGTATAATTGGTCCAGCTCAGATGAACTGTCAATCCTTCCCTTTGCACTTGCTGTCTTGAGAGCAGGCTGTGGAGGGGCAGAGCCATTTTCCGTAATGACTGACGTTTTTCTGCAATATGCAACAAAGTCACTCTACAAATTCTTGAAGATGTTCAGCTGGCTGGTCACATTTCCAAATGCACATGATATCATCAGATCTGTAGGAACAGAACCTGAAAGACAAACAGCACTGACTTTTACTTCTCAGTTAGAAAATGGAGCATGCCTGTCTCTTAAGGTGTTGTTCAGATACCCAAAGATGCATAATTAGGCACCATAAGGAATTAGGGATTGAAACAGAAGACATTGTCTCAGCTGAAAGGAGCTTATTACCTAATGGAGAAGTCAGATCAGGTTTAGCAAAATAAATAAATAAATAAAACAAAACAAAACAAAACAAAAGCAAAAACACCCCAAAAGCCATGAGTATGTGTAGGGAGAGAAACATATGTAACAACAATGCAGCAGAGCAAGCCATAACATGTGTCTCTGCCTGCAAAGATCTGCACACAGGACGACACGCGTAACACATGAGGACGTGCACATACATGTAAGCCTTGGTGAAGAGGTAGAGAATGTGGGACCCGAGGACATTACCCGTGGGCATGGAAAATGGTGCAGCTGCTGTGGGAAAACAGTTTGGCAGCTCTTTAAAGGGTTAAATAAACAGTTACCATTTGACATAGCAATTACACTCCCTGGCATATACCCAAGGGAACTAAAAACAGGTATTTGGAAAAAAAACCTCGTACACAAATGTTCATAGCAGCATTACTAATAATAACCAAAAGGTGGAAATAACCCAAATGATCACTGACTGATGAATGGATAAAAATTGCGATATCCATATGATGAGACAGAAAGAATGAAGTACTGATATATTCTACAATGTGGATGAACCTTAAAAACAATTCTGCTAGGTGAAAGAAACCAGACACAGAAAGCCACATATGATATGATTGCATGTATATGAAATGTCTCGAATAGGTAAATCCACAGAGGGAGAAAGGAGATTAGGAGTTTCTAGGGGCTGGGAGGAGGGAGTGGTGGGAGGGACTGTGAATGGGGGTGACGTTTCTTCTGTGGGTGATGAAAATACTTTGGAATTTGACAGTGGTGGCAGCTGCACAGCTCTGAATATACTAAAAACCACCAACCTTAAAAGGATGAACTTTATGGTTTGTGAGTTATATCTCAATAGAGCTATTAACATTTCTTAAAAATTTAACTTCTTACCACACACACACACAAATAAATTATCACCTTTAATAGAAAAGAATAATATTAACAATATGGGGGAAGGAAACTGTGGGAGGTGACAGATATGTCCTCATCCTGGGTGAGGATGGTGGTTTCCCGGGTGTGTTCTCACACCAAACTCACCGAGGTGTGGATTAAATACGTACAGCTTGTTCTGTGCCAGTCATACCGCAATAAACTGGTTTAAAAAGATTGAAAGACAAAATTAACTATGAATATAATTAATACAAGAAAGAAAATGTTAAAGTTGTTAGTGGCAACAGAAATAAAAGGGAAGAGAGGCCATACAGAAGTATTTTTAAAATAATAAATTAGAATACATTAAAATATCATATGAGGATGGTATGTTGCTGTCGCCAAATTTAATTTTTTCCAGAGACTTTGCACTGATTTGTACTTATTTTCAAAATGTGGCCTAGTGTTGAACTGTCCTTTGGCTTGAACTAGGGAACCAGGAGACCAGATAGGAGTGAATGTGTATATTACGATTTGCAAAGAAAAGAAGAAACAAAAATGCCAAGAAAAAATATTGACTTTCATGCCAAATAAATGTCCAAAAATACAAAGTAAATAAGAAGAGCACACTAGAAGGCCTAAATAAAAGCAGACGATATAAAGCGCAAAATAATAGCAATAGAAAGTAAAACCAAATCCAAAATGGTCACTCTTTTGTTTCCAACCAATTATTAAGTAATTGTCTGCTTTAATTATACCTCAATCTTTAAAATTAAACACATTAATATATGCAGAAGAAATCAAGGAAAATTACCTAATGTTTTAATACAAGAAATTCAACAGTAAATTCAAATTTATACTCACAGGCTAAATGGACAGAGCGAGAATTTTCTTCCCAATGGTCTTCTTCCTTTGTGTTTCCTTGTTCTTTGGTGTGAATTTTTTTAGATGTGTCAAGTTTTCCTGCTTCTTTGGACCTTTTCCATAGGAAGACTGACTTCAAACAGAATTCTCATGTTGGATATGGCATTCACGTTCACACTGATTATGCTTATCGTGGTCAATAATGTGCTGGTTAAGAATTCCAGGCGTGCAAATGATTCCCCAAATGAAGGATCCTTACTCTGCTTTAGTTTAAAAAGACATCAGCTTTATAGCCAACATTGCAATTCATTTCAAACAGAGGAACAGAAGATGAATTTATCTCCTCCATGCCTGGTGCAAATCTAGGATGACTTCTTCCAAAACAGCTTGAACAGGGGATTGAGTAGAAGGATGGGCGAAGGTGTTCTGGCTTCTACAAGAACAAGCTGTTCTCAAGAGGAAGACAGACCCGCATCAGGGCAGCAGGACAGCCCAGACCAGGATGGAAACGTAGGGAAAAGCACGTCCTGACCCAGCTGACAGCCCAGGCTCCCGGCCGGCCATGTGAGGGTTAGCATTTTCCAAAGGGCGGGATGCTCAAAAAAATGTGCAGCTGCCAAACGTGCTTGAGAAATGCTACTTTTCTTGGAGATTCACAAAAAAGACTATTCAATGATCTAAATGTTCCAACAGTAAGAATCTATCCAACAGGATATATATATCCTGTATAAATCACATAGTTAGTCGCAGAACCTTTTCTAACAAAAAAATAAATAAATAAACAACTACTAATCTAATATCCATTGGAACACACTTTGGGAAATGCTAGTCCAAACTGATAATGTCATGAGTTTCAGCTTTAAATTTTCGACTTGGGCTGTGATAAGGGTTGCCAGATTAAACACAAGATGCCCAGTTAGCTGATTTTAAATGAATGGCAAATAACTTTGCCATATAAATATGTCCCATGAAATATTTTTATTTGCTAGATCTGACAACCTTGGCTGTGACACAGTACCGTCAAATGCACCTACTGGGATTAACAATGCCTCTCCTTGCTGTTGTCCTGCTGTGCACAGCATTTACCTCCCTGCAGGTTTGCCACCCTACTCTGAAGTGCCACATGCTTGTGCACAGGTGAGTGGGACCAATAGAACCAGGCAGGTTACCTTCCTCAGGGTAGCACTCTGGGATCCCATCTGAGCCCATTATCAGGTTGCCTCCATTGTCACGCTGCTGCAGGGTTCCAGGGGGACAGGTGGGGACGGGGGTGGTGGGTTCAGGGGTGGTGGTGGTGGTTGTCCGCGTGGTGGTTCGGATTATGGTCCTTGGGCGCACAGTGGTCGTGCGGCGGGTGGTGGTCGTGCGGCGGGTGGTGGTCGTGCGGCGGGTGGTGGCAGTCGTGGGCCGCAGAGTGGTGGCAGTTGTGGGCCGTGGGGTCGTAGTGGCAGGCAGGGGTGTCGTGGTGGTGGTAGGTCGCGTGGTTGTGGTGGGGGGATGCGTGGTTGTCTTGATGACCTCCAAGCCCACCAGGGGCTTCCCGCCAAGACTCAAAATTGGCTTATCCTGGGCACTGGCCAGGGGAGTGCCGTGTCGCCCCTGCCCAAAGAGGGGGAGGCCGTCTGGACTCACCACGGGGGTCCCTTCCAGATCTGAAACAAAATCAGCCAAGAGCCATGCAAGAAAGTGAAATGACCCAGAGAAAATAAGGGCAGGTGATAAGCACCTTGCCAGAGCTTATGTATTGTCGGGTTTCAGGCAGTGAAAGGCAAAGAGATAATTATTATCAATGATAAAAGGACAGCAGCTGGCCGGGCTCGGTGGCTCACGCCTGTAATCCTAGCACTCTGGGAGGCTGAGACGGGTGGATCGCTTGAGGTCAGGGGTTCAAAACCAGCCTGAGCAAGAGCGAGACCCTGTCTCTACTATAAATAGAAAGAAATTAATTGGCCAACTAATATATATAGAAAAAATGAGCCAGGTATGGTGGTGCATGCCTGTAGTCCCACCTACTCGGGAGGCTGAGGCAGGAGGATTGCTGGAGCCCAGGAGTTTGAGGTTGCTGTGAGCTAGGCTGACGCCACGGCACTCACTCTAGCCTGGGCAACAAAGTGAGACTCTGTCTCAAAAAAAAAAAAAAAAAAAGGACAGCAGCTGAGGTGGCAATATCTACCGCTACCCGGAAATTCCTGGGCTTATTCTAGTGCCCATTGCTCTGCATTCCCGCACATCAATGTGTACTATTTCATGGGTGTGCCCATTATCTCAGGGTGTGCCCTGAGGTCACGCTCAGTGTCTAGCGAAGGAAGTAATTCTTGCCGCCTCCTCTCTCCTACTCCTTAGGAGGAAAGTGCTACTTCCGACCAGGAGGGGCAGACTGTTTCTGTTAAAGGCAAGGGGGAAATATTTTAAGCTTTATGGGCCAGATGGTCTCTGTTGTAACTACTCAACTCAACCCTTGAAGTGCAAAAAAGTCAATAGACAATTCATAAATAACACATAACAAATGAATTAGACAATGCATAAATAAATGTTTCTGTGTTCCAATAAAACTTTGCACACGGACACTGAAATGTGAGTTTTAATTGTCACATATCACAAAATTTTCTTCTTTTTTTTTTTTTAGCAATCATTTAAAAATGTAAAAACTCTGCTGAGCTCATAGGTCTCAGAAAAACACACAGCAGCCAGGGTGTGGCCTACAGGCCGTCGTTCGTAGAGCCCTCCGCTAAACAGCCCGATATCAAGAACAAAGTAGAAAGACACATTTTCTAGAGGGCAGAGTTTGCAGGAAAAGTAGAAATAAAGCTGTGTGATGGAAACATTGAGTTCTGCCTCTTTTGAGGCTCTTCTTCCCATGTGACTAAAAGTAACTGGACCAAGGACAACCATTACAAAGGAAGGGATGGAGAAGTTGTTACTCTACAACTCATCGAGTACACTTTTGTTCCTTAAAAACCATCCTCACTTACCCACGATGGTCCGGCCATCCCCTCCCAGTTTAACCCGAAGAGGATTTCCATGTGAATCCTGGAGGTACCTTCCTTCTGCATTCAGTACTAACCCACGATCGAGGTCCACAACCTAAATCCATGACATAGATTAAAGAATACGTTGAACATTCCCAAAAGTTCACGTTAGTCCAACTACATGTACATATGTGTAACACTCTCACAGAAGGAAACCATTATGTGAGTAGGAGACAATACTTCCGTCAGTATCATAAGGTTTAAAAAAATAAAGTGCAAACCAGTTATATTTCATATTATAATTGCTTACCCATATAACATGTAAATTTTTTTAAGTTACTCAAATACATAAAAGATGTTCAAAATATTTTTACTGCTAAGTACATTATATCTAATGCTGGGAAAGAGAAAACAACACAAGTGTCTGTCAATTGAGGGAAGAGATTAAATAAATTATGGCCCATTCATGTTGCAGAATACTATGCAGCCAATAAAAAGGACATGGGAATTCTACATATATTGACTCATGCTGAACTCAGATTACAGGGCTGATTATTTCCCAAAGATAAAAATATATTCATTTGTGTGTATATAAGTTTAAAAAGACTGCAGAAAAAAAATTCTGTAAGGATATACCCCAAACTGGTAACAGTGATCATTGCTGAGAAGTAGTTTGGGGTTGAGGATGCTTATTCTCTTTTTCATACATTTCAGAATTGTTTTAACTTCTTGCAATGACTATGTATTTTTAATATATTAAAAACATGTTTCCATTTGCTGTTAATATTAAAAATCAATGTTGCTATAGCAAAGACAATTTGTAATAATATTGCCTAATATACTATGCATACAAAAATTTCATATTCTAAGAAACTATAAAACTTGAAAAAAGCAAGTATTGTCTCTATTAAGGAACAAGTTCATGCTCTTTGCTGGTAGTTCTCAAAGCATGGCCCTGGACCCAAAGCATCAGCATTACATAGGAACTTGTCATAAACTCAAGTCACCCAGCTCCACCCAGATCCAAATTTGATAAGCCCTCCAGTGATCCTGAGCTGGCCGATGTCTGAGAACCACAGCTCTGCAGTCAGGCTACTGGAAGAAGCCCGGTGAGCAGGCCTTGCCGTTGGGTGCTGTTTTAGTAATTTAAAACAAAGTTTATATAAACCCTACTTTTGAAACCCAACCCATTCTGTTTCAATTCAAAATTGGTTGCAATGACATTTTGCTCTAGTATGCATTCTTCCTATTATAAATTTCTGTTCCTTTGAGAAATAGCAAAATGCATCTTTAGATCACCTATCGCTGAAGATTCCATAAAGTCCTTTAATGTTTTCCTAAACTTTATTATTGTAAGTGGGAAGTTTTGACTGGGAATTCAAGCATAAATAATTTTTTTTATTGTTTGAAAATATAGTTTTGAATCCCTGAATATTATAAAGTGTTCTTTCCACTAACCTCAACCCACCGAAAACCCCTAACCATTTATCTTAACCCTGAGCAGTTAAAGTTATTTAATTTTGGTCAAATGTTGAAAGCTTCAAGAGATGATCTGATAAAATTGCCTATACAATTTAGAGGGTTTTTTGTTCATTTGTTTTTACTCTGCTTCCTTTTAGAAAAGATTTGAGGCAACTTATAGAAAATATATATAATATTTGATTAAACTATAAACAAAAAATAAAAATAAAATATGGCTATCAGGACAGGGAAAAGATAAGTTCATTTGAGAGGCCCTTTGTTAGCTCCATAATGGCTGTAGTTGGGCCATATAGTTGTTGACTAGTTGTTGACCATTTGTTGACCTTCCCCATCAGCCAAGGCAAATGACAAACAAAGGCCCATGCCCCAACCCCCTAGCTATAAGAAGAAAACAAATTAGTTACTCAGGAGGACAAAAGATCTTTCTGAGAATTGAAAGAAACCATATCCAAGTATCTTCACATATGAGTAGAAATGTTCACCATATTTCTTTTCTCAACAGCATGAAAACAACTTGTATGTGTAAGGAAATGTACCCTACCCACTTTGTTCCTTGAGGGCCATTGATAATTCTCTGTCCATTCGGTTTTCCATTACTACCAGGAAGAGCCTTCCCTTCCACACTTGGTCGGCCATTATAACCTACACGGTGCAGGAAAACAATAACAGAGCCTGGTAAGTTCGACGTTCAACATTCCTGGAAAGTTGGCTTCATATCAAACTGTAAGTAGTAACACATCATTCCTAACAGAAATACTAAACAGAACGTCAAACCAATAGTTCAAATATCTTAGATAATGACAGTCTTAAATTGTGACTTCTCCATGACAAAGATGGATGTCTACTAAGAGTATAGTAAAGTTACAGTTTCCTAACCATACTGGGGGCAAGTGTGGCTTAAGTAAAATTATCATACAAAGCTTAAGCCCTTAGCAGCTATAGCTTTATTTTAGCCATTTGGAAGCTGGAAGGACAGAGAAAAATTGTCTCTGAAAGGCACTAGAAGCTGTCCTGGTTTTCTCGGCATGTCATACTACACATGACAACCATTTCCAGCTGACTCAGGTCCCAGTCATCAGTTGCCAAGTATGAGTGTACCGTGCCACCTCACAGCCTGCTGAACCCTGGGGCCGCTTGAGAAGTACTAATATTTGCTCAGAGAGCAGGGAGAAGGTGCGGCAGTGCCCTTGCCATTGTCTTGTCCCTGTCCACCTCACATGGAACTGTTTCTCATCAGCTACAGCCTGCCCTGGTCCGGCCTCACTGCGCCTGGGCTTTCTGAGGCTTTGTGCAGGCCAGACACATGGCTCTCACTCCTTCATTCATTCATTAAATATTTATCGAGTTCCTGCTATGCTTAAGGGAATGTTGAGTTTCATGTCTGTTTTGGGGGTGTTAGGTTTGCTTAAAATAGTCAATCTTAGTGGAAACCTGACCTTGATAGGGGCATTGTTCTATGTCTTTACATTGGACTAAAACAACAATGCATCGTACAGATTAACAAATAATACATTCGTTCAAGAATGTTCTATGTAGCCCCAGTTACATGCAAGGAGAGTTCAAGGCACCACTTAACTGAATGCAAATTTATGGTAAATACCTTAGACCCTTCCCTGGGGTCCACATAGACTGCAGTTCATAGCTGTCTATGCTCCATCCTCTGTTCTAGAAATAGAAGGCACACATTTGCCTGTGATCTCTCTGTGTGACAATCGTCTTTACCATGCATTTTCTGGAGGTTTTGGACAACATTCGCTGATTGCAATGTCTGAGCAATTCATACCCAAGACATTTGAGTTTGTCCCAGGGTTCGTTCAATTGAGAGTTTTGTTTGCAGGAGATGAGAACAAGAACAAGATAAGCCTGCTGCATATCTAATTCCTTACTGTGGATTCCTTACATACCATATTTTCCCAAAAATAAGACAGGGTCTTATATTTATTTTTCCTCAAGAAGATACCCTATAGCTTATTTTCAGGGGATGTGTTATTTTTTTTAACAATCTACATTGTAGTACAACAATCTACATTTATTCAAATATAGTTAAGTCATCTTCTTCTGGAACATCATCATAACTCTCCAAACCCTGAATTCCATCCTGAATTTCTTACAACTCTATTTCCTTTAGCACCATTGGCCCCAATCTCTCGTGTCGAGCAGTAGAGCTCTCATGGGGCTGATGAGAAGGGCTGCTTGTCTTCTTTACTGGTCCGCAACTAAATGCATGGGTTGTGCAGACACGCTGCGTAGCCACGCCCATCACTAGGTCTTATTTTCGGGGTAGGGCTTATATTTCGAGAATGCTTAGAAATCCTGCTAGGGCTTATTTTATGGGCAGGTCTTATTTTCGGGGAAACACGGTACATGCTAGCACTTGAACTAGGACGAATCTAACATACTGGAACCTGAGTATGGCATCATGGCTGTGACACATTTCCACAGAGTAAGAGTGTAAGTTAAGGAATTCAAAGAGGCAGTATGTGAGAGCGAATGACAAGTGGCTGTGCAATAGACCATTTGGGATTGGAATTACAGTCACTCCACGGCTGTCTGACTTCAGGCAAGCCACTCATGTCCCTGGGCCCCAGCTACCTCATCTAAAAAACAGGGGTTGTGATGCAAACCCTAGAGACAGTTCACAGGATGAAATAACATTACCCGTGCAAAGCTCTTAACACAGTGCTTAGACAAAGCTCTTAACACAGGAATTGCTTATTGTATTCATTGCCTCAGGAACTGCCATGAACACTACTTAGCACCTTTTAAAAACTGATTAAGAGACTGTTTTTACAAGCAAATTACCTTGTCTGTTAGGGGGTCTCCCAGTCTGGCGGGAGAGAGGGTTCCGGAATCTCGAATGCATCATCCGCTGGCGCAAGGAGAGCATGGGGGTGGTGGAGTAGCTGGGAGGGGCGCGGGTGGCGGACCTCGGCCAGTAGGGGGTCCCTGTGACGGGACTTGCTGTGGCAGGGCTGCGAGGCGGCAGTCGGGGCGGTAGGTGGGAGGCCCTCGGGGGGCTGCCTGGAGGCGGCGGCAGAGGTTGCTTTGCCAGAGCGGTGCTCTCTTCCTGCAAGGAGCTCCCTCTGCGAGGAGCCAGCACCACGGCAGACTCCCGCTGGTCCTTGGCGAGGCTGCCACCAGCATATTTGCTGTCCTTGGGGGTGGAGGAAGAGGGCCACTTGGACACAGAGGAAGACAGAGGGTCTTCCTTCCCTCCTTTTAGAAACCCCGCGTCCTCCTCCGCCTCGTCCTCCGCGGAGACTGACTGCTGGGATTTGGATGGCAAGGGCCGCCTGGAAGGAGGCTGGGTCTCCCGGTGAGTGGCCTGGTCCCCGCCTCCCTCCTGCTGCCCCGCGGGGGGCCCTGCCCTGCCCGGGCCGCGTGTCTGGGGCCTGCCAGGCCTCGGCCAGGAGCCTGCGTGTCCACCCCGGGGTCTGTCATCCGCGCTCCCCGCTGGCGACTCCACCTGACGGTGCTTGGGCAGGGTTGGGGTGGCGTCCTTGGCGCGGGCCGGGGCCCCGACTTCCATGCTGTCACCCTCGTCGCTGCTCTGGGAATCCTCGTCCTGGCCCCGGCGCCCCGGGTGCAGCACCCCCCGGGAGCTGGCGGGGTACCGGTCCGAGAGGGCGGGGGCGCTGCCCTGCGACGACGTGGGGCGCGGGCGCCCGGCCTGAGCAAGCCCGAGCTTGGGCTGGGAAAGTGCCCGCCCCGCGTCCTTGCTCTGGGGGCCCGAGGGCGGGCGCTGGGACGGGGACACGGGTGGAGGGGGCTGCCTTTCTGAGGCCCGGCCTGGGGTCATCCTTCTGGGAGCACTGGGCGCAGGGTGGTGCTGTGACCGCGCTGCGGGAGGACGAGCAGAGGACAGCTGGCGGCCCAGGGACACGGGCTGCGTTTTGGGAGAATGACCCTCCACGTCCACGTCTGTGCTCTGTTGAACGTCCTGCGCCTTAGAGGACAGAGAGGAGGATTTGCCCTGAGGATGTGCATCTGTCCCCGCGGATTTGGGGTTCTCTGGGACGGGCTCCTTCCGGTGCAGGCTGGCCCCTCTCTGGGGGCTTCTTCTTAGGGGGTCCCATCCCCGGGAGGTGGTCTGCCTGGAGGAGGAAGGCGCGTGGTCATCTACCTCGGTGGCAGAAAGTGGCTTCTCATCCTCCCCGTCTCCATGGGTACCTGAGCCGGGCCTGGGGACGGAGGCTGGGTGAGGGTGAGTCCCTGAGTGGGCTCGGGAGGGCGCCGTGGACTGGGGGGAGCTGGAGGGCTGCAGCCGGAGTCCCCGGCCACCGCCAAACCTGTTTGGAAACCTGCCGTTGGCAGCAAAGGGCTTGTGTCTGAGCAAACTCAAATGTCCAGAGGCAGGCCGGGCCCGCAGTGTCTGGGCCGTGGCCTCCGCCGGCCTCCTGCTGTCTTCCGCGCCACTGTCGCCCTGGCCATCAGAAGCGTCTGCGCCCTCAGAGACCTGTGTCCTGGAGGAAGACACGGTGGACCGTGATGGCGCGTTAGAGTTGGCGGCTGGGGCTTCAGGGCCATCCCTCCAGCTCCTGGAGGGCGGAGGACCCAGCTGCGGATGGGTGGGCAGTGACCGCGATGACCCGCGAGGGCGGGGAGAAAGTCTGGCTGGCGGGGCCGAGGCGCTGAAATCTTCCTGCACCGCCCCGGAATGGGGCGCCCTCCACGCCGGCGAGGCTGGCCTTGTGCCATGGTGCGGGGCGCTTCTGTCCCGCAGGACGCTGGCGGCAGACTGGCGGCTGGGCGACAGGGCCGGTTGCGGCTGGGCCGGGCCCTTGGGAGGTGGCTGCTGGGCGGACCTGTCCTTGGGGTGGAGGGAGCCTGCAGCTCGCTCGTCCCCGTCTGGGTCCACCGAGTCGTTGTCGGCAGAGCTGGCAGGCGGGCTGGCAGAGGAGCCCCACGAAGGACGGTGAGAGGTGCCCTGGGCGGCTGTGCGGTGGGCGGCAGAGGCCGCGGAGGAGGAGCCGCGCTTGTCTGCACCTTCCTTTCGGGGCAGCGCAGGCGTCCTGCCAGAAGCCACCACCGAGTGCCCATGCCTGCTTGGTGGCCTCGGGCTCCGCTTCTGGTCCTGGCTCTCCGAGGGCGAGACTGGAGGGTGCTCCAGGGAATCCAGCTCCTCCTCCTCCGTGACTTCTGTCGACTGAAGATCCAACTCTTCAGTCTTCCGAGGGCGAAGCGGGAGTTTTCTGGGCAACCCGCCGTTAGCCAGTATCTTGTTCTTCAAGTCAAGAAGAGGGTCCTTGGCATTTCTATCTTGGGGAGAAACAGGCAAATGAGTGTGCTGTGAGGAAGCTGCAGCTTTGGGAGAAGACGAGGGCGGCTCGGGTTTTCGAGGTTTCCAATTGCCCTCCGAGTTCTGCTGAGCGTCACTGCTCCTGGCTACAACACATTTAAAGAATTGACTGTCAAAGAAGAAACTCAAAAGCCGTGTGACAAAAATGAGTACTTAAGATGGCAATGTGGAAGCATTTCAAATCAGTAATCATAACTGATAACTTCTAATGCCTCAGAACACTGAAAACTTATTTTCCCAACAATAGCGTTCTTTTTTGAAGCTCTATCTTACTTTAAGTAACAGATACAGTCCCAGAAAATGTGTGTGGATTCAATCTCTATAAATTACATCGGATTATATCACAGCTTATTTGAAGGAATTCTGAAATAATACTTTGAATTGATTCATTGATTTTGTAAATGCAAAATCGTTATGTAGGATTTTCTTATTATAACTAATTGTCAGAATATTACACATGCATTATAACTGTTCCTAATCCGCATGAAATATATATGAACCTCGTGCAAAATGCTCAATGATGATCTATCTTCAAAACCACATGGGAATGTGTTGTGTGTGACAAGCAACCAATTTGAAATTTTTGAGGCATTACAAAGGGTTCTCTATTCCCCCAACATGTCCTTCCTTACTTCTTCCTTCTTGCTTAAAACTCTTTTAATAATAAATACATTTATAATTCTAAAATAAGGCTTAAAATAAAAAGGCTCCTTGGATAAGCAGGCATTATATTAAACATACCCTAAATTGCCCTGTGGAGAGCAGGATCAGCTGAGGGAAGGGCTTCTATGAGTGGAGGGGAATCTACACAGCAGTGAGGGACCACAGGGGGCAAACTTCATCTATTTCACAGTTTTTCCCAGGACAGAATTGTTTCATACTGCAGCCTACCATGCGTCCTCACAGCACAGAACGGAGGACAGTGTTACCAACTTCTGGCGTAAATGTGGGGAAGTGGAAAAGAAACCCCAAACCGTTCCACTCCACTTTTGGATCTTTAACTTGTTTGGTTTTGATACTGATCAGATAAGCTAGACAACTGAAATCCTTTTGAGTGAAGCTTCATTCCTAAATAAAGGAATACAAACTAAAAATTTTAAATGCTCTGCAGAAATTAAAGTGAGCCAACAAGGAAAATTGTCACATTGCACTTGTGAAAATGTTTTTTCCCTGTCGCGATAAACCCCAAATTAAACGGTGATATAAGATTAATCATATAACTAATACATCAATATTATAACAACAATTAATGTTATCAAACAATCAATAACATTTTAGTCTTTGGGGAGACTAATTTCTAAAGGGACTACAAAAATATTTTAGAAATCAGTATGCAACTTAGCCACCCCAAATCATCAACTGAACAGTTCTAAACTCAAGAGCATGATTCAAAGGAACACAAAACAAATAGCACGAATGAAGAAAGAGAGAAAAGAGCCACAAACGCACTGCTTACTTGTTGGCATAGCGACAACGAAGGCTTTGGAGTGAGGTCCCAGGCCTCTCCTGTTTGCAGCCCGGATTTTGAAAAGATAGCGTTCTCCAGGCTGCAGACCATCCACCAGGGCAGAAGTAGTGTCTCCAGGATAGGTGAGGGACTTTGCTCCAAATGGTTTGAGAGCCGGGGCGTAGGAAAGAATGTATTCTGAAATGATTTGGCAGACAGTTGGAAGAAGGAAACTGAAAACAGTCCTGTGTCCAGCAGACAGACTGCATGGGCAGGATGAACTAGAACGTGCATTACTAAAATTAATATGCTAGCAATGCACGCCAAGTCCCCAGCTGGAGCATGAAGACGCAGCAGAAGGTGATTGCACATTCATTTGGGCAACCAGACAGGGCTGTGTATTTAATTAATTGGCACTTTGCCATCTTAAGCAAATTAAACATATGGAAGGCAGGAGGCCAATCTTCATACAATTCCCTAAAATACTTACACTGTGGATGTGGTTTTTTAAAAATTGTATTTATTTACTAATTTGCTATGATGGAATATATCCCAAATAGAAGAAACTAAGAAAAAAGAAGTGACAACTGCTAGGAATTGATTCTGAATAGCTGCTGACATCTTCAAGAATTTTAGTTAATTAAGCTGAGTTATTTTTATTAGCATATTAAGCCAGAAAAATTCCATATTTGAAATATAATTTCATTTTGTAGGAATGATATAAGTTCTTATTCAATATATGCCAATAAGGATATTTCACAGCATTTAAAACTATGACGAAAAGATGTTATAGTAAATAACAGATTTACAAGCTGTCTAATGTATCCATCTTTAATTGACTATATCTGTAAGTCTGTAATACACTTGAAATTTGAAAACCACAGCAAGTTCAGTCCAAGGAACTAAAATATCTCTATGCTTACATGGAAATATTGTACCATAAGGAAGTCATACTTTAAAACATAAATTTCACCTTCAGCTAAAAACTGCCATGCCTATTTTCCTCTCAAAGAACTCAAGATTTACAAAACTTATCAAATTAATATGAGTTGGAGCTAAGAAAAATAATTTAAATTACACAAAAATCAAGCAATTATCAGGCACATGGGAGACCTTTTCTTTTCCCTAAGCTCTAATTTTTAAAAAGTACATTAATTAAACAACCTTTTCAACCAAAAATGCTTTTGCTGCATTTGTCTGGAAAAAGAAACCCCACAGCATTCTTGTCTTATTTTAATAATGAACAAACATCATTTGTGGTGGTCAAAAGTAAGAATTAAGAGAACACATTGTGTATAAAATTTTATAATTCAGATTTTATATGGATTCAAGTCATCTGGAAAAAATTTAACCATGTCAAAGTATATTCTTCTATAATATTTTACAATTTCTTATGCACAGAAAAATGCCCCAATGTAATTATGAATTTCAATGCTACCACTACACCCTTATAAAAACTATCTAAGGGGATAAGATACATGAGTTCTTTTGAACATAAAAATTCAGTAGCTATTATTATTTCTGGCAATATTTAACTGACTACCAAGGAGCTTCTTTCACTAAAGAGCTATAAACTAAGATGTGGGAGAGGGGAAGCACAAATAAATAACATGGTAATAAAGTCACTAGAAGTATAATAATTGACTTTTTTTAAACTAAAAAAAAAGAGTTGTTCAGCCAAAACATGTCCTTAATTCAATTTTTAGAGACTTTTTCAGCACAACAATACTTGATACAGAGGGAGTCGATGTCAAAATTGTCATAAAAAGAATGATCTAAATGGGCCAACTAAATATGTATTCTCTTCATTTGTTTTTGATTTATTCCAGTGGGGAAAGTATGAGGAAGAAGAATAGTACAGTCTATTCCTAACAAACTGGAAAGTGAAAAAGCATTAAGTATAGAAAATACCATTCTAATCTACCTTCTTTAACTTCTATTTGTTCCATGAAAAGATATCCTCAAAGGTAACTTATAGTTGAATACCAAAAATTTTAATTTTTTTTCAGTTAAGAAATTCTCAAAGGAGATTAGTGGTAATTTATTGGATTTTTTAAAGCTTACACAAACTTTTATAGTTTCTGGACATATTAATCTTAAAGTGGTCTCCAAAAATCTAATGACAATAAAAAATATTCCTTTCTTAAATACAAACTCCATTCCTTTCTACTCTTAGGGTGCATTTGCATAGGCAATGCTAGGGGAAAACCTCAATATGACTCTTTAAAATGTCTCCAAACAGAATTCTGAAAGGTTCTTGAATGCTTTTACATTAAAAAAGAAAATATTTGGACATTTTAGTATTTTCAACAATTTTAAAATTTAACTAGATGTGAATAGTTTATTTTTATTCTTTTAAATCTTCAGTATTTTTTTCTATTTTAATGTTATATTTTCCATGACATACATAAATAAATAGATAGATAGATAGTGACAAATAGGAAATAAATTCATTTTCCAGCACTTATTACTTCGGTTTTTCAAACCCACTCAATATATATATGGTCTCATTAAAGATATTTATGGTCCTACAGGAGTTCTGTAACTCTTACTTTTGTGATCTTCCTGGCACAACCAGGAAAGAGGGAAACCATGCTATGGGAAAAGACCCATAGCATGAAAACCAGGGTGTTGTTTGGATGGGTAAAGGTTATGATGTCACACCCCTGGCTTTAAAAACATCCCTACTAATAGCAACACCAAAAACCCTTCGTAGGAAGACGAAAAGAAAAATCACCTTTTCGACTACCTGACTCTTAGACAGTGAAAATCTTGCATGAAATATCCTTGTCCCTAGGGTTAGCAGCTCTTACACGTATGTTGCTTCCCTATTTGTTTTTCAGGCACCAAAGCTGTGGGCAGAGGTAGTGTTTATCAGAGTTCACACATCTGACAGTTTATGGAACGAGATTCCTACCTTTCACCTTGCCCTCAGTCTCTGGTAGGGCATCCCAAGACACGGTGACAACTGTAGGTTTGCCATTGACTGGCCAGACGTTCAGGTTTTCAGGAGCTGTGGTAGGAGCTACGAACGAGATGGAATCAAACATTTTAAAATGCCCTCGAGTCACCACCTGAGCTCCACAGCCCCCACAGCCCCGATTTGTAGAAAAACTGTCTTCCATGATACTGGTCCCTGATACCAAAAAGGGTGGGGACCACTGCCCTGGTGGAGATCCTAAAAGTAAATGGCATGCAGTCCCTATGTACACATGTCTTACTGAAGAGCTATGGTGTTAATTTTTATTACACATGAAAGAAAATTCTATACTTGCTCTTTGTGCAATACAGTGATTTGTGTCACTTCAACCAATTCATACAGTGAGTTTAGACATATCTAGGGAAATGCTTTTAGGAATTCAGAATTTCTCTCATTGCTAAAAATTGAAATATACAAAGAAGATTAAAGTCCAGCTCCAAATTTTCCTTAATAAAACTTTTAAAGGTATGGTTTGAAAGAAAAGAATTGAAGCCTCGGATACAAGGCAAATTTCTCCCCCAGAATCAAACACAACCTCAGCCTCAGGAAAGAAAAGTCTCTCCTACATGCAAGAGCCATGCATTTCCCAGGGGCATCCATGCATACAGTGATGACCTATGTGTGCTACATGCTGAGACGAAACGTGCTGCACATGTCAGAACAACATGAACAACCTGCCAGTGGAAAAGGCCAGCGAAGAGTACAGCATGGACCCAGGGAAACAGCTCCCTGACTTCTTCGCATTTGCACACAGAAGCACTACCAAAATGTAGGGTTCACGTGTCTTTCAAAAATGCCCACGCTAGCCTTTGTCACTATTGGCTTCTTAAACTGTTCACTTTAAATCTTATTTTAGGAATAATTCCCAAATTGAAAATCCAAAGGCCATTTCAAATACAGACCAGATTCTGGTGTTCTTTGGAAGACTGATATGCTCCATTTGCCATCTCTTTCACCCTGTGAAATGCGGACTGCAAATTCATACACGGTGTCTGGAATCAGGTTCTCGATCAACACACGCCTATTGGTGATTTGCTTGTAATCCCACCTGGCGGATTCCCCCTTTTCTCGATAGCGCACGGTGTACTGTCTATAAGAAAATGCAACACAACAATATATCCAAATTCTCTGCAACTGAACACTAGGTTCCTGCTGTTTTTCCTTCCCCGTAAGTGACGGCTTCTGGAGGTAAGTAGGGAAATCAAAGAGGAGAAAAATCTAAACTTTTGACTATGTTATTGGCTCAATGAATCTGCTTAAGTTCCAGGCAAAGGTGTCTGTAACATAGGCCGGGAAAAATGGAGCTTGGTGTCTTTTCAAGACCAAAAAGTCTTAACTGCTCAAGAGACCAAGCAGAGATTACAAAGGGAAGGGGTGGAAAGGGGATGGATTTTATGAGGCCACTACCTTGTCAGGGGTGTGTGTGTATGTCCGTGTCTGTGTTGGAGGGAAAGGGGCAGTATTAAGGACCAGGAAGGACCCAAGGTACCTCGGATCGTCAGAGAAAAAGACAAAAAAAAAAAACAAAAAAAAAAAACCCATTTCATGCCAAATCAGGTATGTTTTCCATAGGTTCAGGAAGAAAGGGAACATGTGGTTTCGAGTAGGCTTATTACCATGGAAAGGAGCAAAAATGTGTAACAAATAGAGCGGGACAGAGGAACTTAGGAAAGGAACTCGGTGTGTGACTAGCAGGGAGAGAAATGCCATGTGACTGAACATGGAATATTCCACAACCCCAGACACCTGCAGCACTCTGAGAGTTGCAAACACTGTTTACTGGATCCTTTTCAAAAGAAATTTTCTTTGTAGCCTCTCTGTAGTAGAAAGCACTTGATGCATTAAAAATGTGCTGTTTTATTTAGTAAGTCAGGAGATGTCAGTTGAAGACCAGGCACCCCAATTAACACAACGGTTCTGCTAAGAAAACTCAAGCCTTCTCTGGTCTCCAGCAAGATGTTGGAAATCAAAGCCCAGCGGTAATCAGGGACAGTTTTTGTTGAGGAAGGCTGTGCCGCTAGGGAGAGAATCGCTATGAATCTTCTGAGGTCTTTCAAAAAAAGCAGACATCTTTTTTCCTCACAGACAGTGAAGGAAACCATCTAATATGAGTAACAGTCCATATATGTATATAATCTCAACATTGTGTTCCATTCATTTTAAAGTACATGCCCTTTTCCTGGTTGCAGATAGGTTCAAAATGAATGCACAATAAGTAGACCACCAAATTTGCGGCTTTCTCTTGGTTATATAAACTATCCAGTCATTGAACACATAAAATTTTGATGGCTATATTTAATCTACCACTAGCCAGAAATGGTGTTCCCAGTGGCCTTTTAACATATAAATTATTTTAACCTTATTATTGATTTTTCCTCTATTGCTATTGCAAATGAAAATAAAAACCAGAATAGCACAACATCATGGTCTAAGAGAAAATAAGGTGCATTTTGCTATGCACGAATGAGCTGGACATGAAGCAATTCAGTGTTGGACAAAAGTCTAATAAGGCACCACTAAGTGTGTGGCATTAGACAAATATCCACCACTCTACAGAAAACCCATCTTACTGTGACTCTTTCTGGGTAACGGGAGGAATGGTAAGACTCCCCACAAGATGGACCTACACATGAACAGAACGTGAATGAGACAAGGCAACAAGAGTGGAAGCAAAGAAAGAAATGCAGTCTAGGAGATTTCCAGACACAAGATCCGACTCTGAGCCAGTGCAATGTGAGGTCCTGTGTGTATTACTCACGAGACCCTGGTCGAATTTGATGTGTGAGAAATGTGTGACCACACTTGGGATTGACTAGATTGCCATAAAACCTTCCACCATCGAGCTACAAAAGATGCCAGCATCCATGTAAGTCCAAAAGTAACATCATAAAACACATGTCTTTTTAGGGCCAGAAAACCCACATCTCTTCATACGTAAAGACAAAGAAATAAGCAAATGTACCTTGATGCAACAACCTTCTTCTGTTTTTCCAAAACAGGATCCACCCAGGCCACAAGCACAGACTGGGATGACATAACCCGGACAGTGATGTCTTTAGGTATATCCAGTTCATCCTCTTCTGCAATGACAATGGGACCCATCGAACAGGCTTTCTCTAACAGTGGGCTCTGCCCTGAGTTCCTCTGGACTTGAGTCTACCATTCACCTCGTATAATTTCTAGATTGCTTGTGCTTAATGTAGACAAAATGAAATGGATAGGAAGTTAAGCAATTATTTGATTGGTGAGTGTAGAAAAGCAAAAATCTCCACTCTTGCTTTTCTTAACCACAGCCTGAGAAATGGGCAGTTCACTTTAAAAGCTGCCCAACCCAGCCGACACACGAACAGCACAAAGTGGGTGCTGGCCCTGGCCAAAGGTAGTCCAGGGAACTAAGTGTTTTCTCAATGCACACTGCAAGTCTCTGGGAAATAATAAAATTTTTATAGAAAGCAAAACTTTAAGGGAAGAAAAGCTCACTTCACATTTCCTTGGCGATTATGGCATGAAATGAAAATTTGGTTTCAAACAACTGCAAGAATCACATTGGGTTCAATGTCCTCACATTTTAGAATAGGGATTCCATGGCAGATTAAAATTTATATTCAGATATAAAATAGAATTCACTTTGTCAATTTCTTACAGAGATTCAGCTTTGTTGTTAGTAGAATATATCATAGTCACGAAGTTTATAGTCTTAGATCAATCTCTAAGAAATTAAGACTTATAAGATGTCTTTAATATTGCTTTTTAGTCTTTTGGGGTTTTTTTATTTTGCTATTTGTTTGGTTTTGCGTGTTTTTCTTTTTACTTTACAGAGGCCACATTTCTAAAGGATGTGGATTTTACCACAAGCAGGGGAAAGTGGAAGTATTTAGCCTGTTAGAAAAGACACAGGAACTTTTCCTCTGGCAGCGATTGATGAATAATAACAGTGAAACATCATGTATGTGGACTTCTTTATGTAATGTAAAATAAATTTCATTTTGTCTTGTGAGTTCATAAAAATAATTACAGATTATATAGCTATAGATTGCCTCTTTAAATTAAGGCACATGGTCCAGAAAAAGTGTATGTAATTTGTTAATATACAAGTAATATAAAAAATATCTGTGAATGAGCATGGGAAAAGGTGCCCCTTAGTGAGTGGACAGTGATCGGGTTATCAGCAAACCGTTATGACATTTTTTCTCGATATTCTAAATGTCATTTGAATGCACATTTAGCTGAAATCACATTAGCATGCTATCCACACCTGCCTTTCTTTCTCTTACTTCATTCCGTGCATCGCTGAGGGTGGCTTATGCATGGACCAGACTGTGCCCTTCCATGGCATCGATGTTTGGCTGCTCCTAACATGGCAAATCTACTGCACAGTGAAGCCACTCAAAATACACAGGGAAATCTATTGTGTCACAAGAACACGCCAGGCTCTGCATATAAAAGTAGCAGGCTTGCACCTACAATACGACCAAATCTGCCCTGTTGTTTCTTTTATCCTCAGAAACATTCATGTCCTTTGTCACCCAGCCAGCAGCATTTGGAAACAACAGGGCATTCATAGTAAACCGTGGTTTGACCAAATGCATCCTTAGAAACATACCTGAAATCTTCCGTTTGGTTAGGGCAGCTCTGTAGACCGGCTGGCTCCGCCCCTGGGCGTTCATGGACTGCAGGGAGACCACGTACACAGACTCCGAGGCTGTGGACCAGGGAGCGAGGGGTGAGACTCTGGGGCTTGGACCTCTTGGGAACACACATCCCCTGGAGGTCTGCATCCCCACCCCTTCCCTCCGCATTCCCACTTCTTTAGACCAACAGAAGATGAGCCCAAGAATGGTAGGAACTAACTCAGAAAGAATATTTCTATTATGTTAGAAAATGAAGAACTGATTTTTACCTATAATTCCTGAAAAATGAGTTTCTTGTCAGCATCAAAAAGAGATGAGCAATACTTTAAAAATATCATATTTACCCACATAATCCCCGTAATCTCTTGTTTTCAATTTCTTTTCTTTTTTTAATTTCAGAATATTATGTGGGCACAAACATTTTGGTTACATGTAATGCCTTTGCATCACCCAAGCCAGAGCTACAAGCATGCCCATCCCCATACAGTGCACTAATTTCTTTTTTATTTATAAAATAGAGAACAGGGAGTTACTCTGTTTTTATCCATCATCAGAAAAAAAGGAGCAAAGAAAAGGACAGCAGATGCGCTACGTTAATAGACCAGAAGGCCATTATGTTCTCGTGGGATGTTGTGCCCTGTGAAACTACTGAAGTCCTCAGAGCAGCATCTCTGAATATTTGCTATGAGTAAATGGAACAGTTGAAATGCATCCTTTATTTCTGGATGGTTCTTTCAGTCAGTTCCAACTTTTCATATACTTGGATTCTGCAGGGCGACTGCTGGACTTGAGCACGAAAGCATCTGAGTCCTCGCACCAACTCCGGCCTACACTGAGGGATGACTGTATTGGGGGGGATACAACGACGGTGTAAAACGCGTACTCTCGAGCACTGTGGGATCGCAGAGTCTGAAACCCAGGTGAACCGCGGTTATTTTCTAATTGGACCTTCATATTTTACACGTAAGGACATAAAGCGGTAACAGTGGAGTGACTTGCCCAAGGTCACACCTGCGAGAAGCACTCGTAATCTTCCCTGAATCCAAATCGCTAACGCCTGACTCTAGGCTCTGCTGAGCAGACCTCTTACTCAAGCTTTAATCAAGTCAAAAATAAAAATGAGGCATGCTGACTGATTTCTAGTGAAGATAGTTGTATTCTTAGGCAACATCTAGGTACATTAACAGAGGCTGACACTGAGATCCTAAAGGGAATTTGGAACCCAGGACTCCTCCTTCCGGCATTGCAAACTTTCAGATGTGTGTGTGTGGGGGGGAATCAACCTTCTGTCTTTACAAACTTGTTGAGCTAAACATGAAAGGATACCTGTGTTCACAAATCTCACGCAGAGGGGCCTATTTATAGAGTGAACTGCTGTCTACTAATCAGAGATCGCAGGGCAGGGGGTGGTATCTGACAGCCTCTCTCTACATGCAGAGAGAAAGCGGGAGAAGCTCGTGCTGCGACATGAGGAGATTATTTATACTAAGTCACTCACATCTCATCCCACCAAAGGATTTTGAAATGTATGTTTTGTGAAAGCGAGGGATCAAATCTGTAACACTTGGATTCACAGAACATCAAACTGAGCTTCCATACAGAGGGGTCACTTCAGATCTGTTAATTTTTTGGTGTCACTGACGGTGGAATTGTGCCAAAAGTAAACAAAGAAAAAACTCTGCCCTCCGACCTCACAGCCCAGGGACGTGTGTAAATAACCACACGTGGAGAGCAGTGCCCCGCCCTTTACCAAGAACCACCAAGGAATGACTTCTTATTCACAACCAAAACGTTTACATGTTTTCAGTGTATGGGCTTAAAGTTCTTGGATGGTTTTTATGTCCAGATTCTTGATTAGCTGAGCTCTTGAAACTAAACTCGGCCCAAGATGACCATCAAGGAAAAGTTGTGTCCTGCAATCAACTACAACCGCAGCTGTCAGGCGCCGGGTGAGTCCACCCTACCCTACTCATTTCACATGGGGCAAAGCCCCAGGAGGAAGCTCCTCTCATTGACTCCGTTTCTCAGATAAGAACAGGCTCGGAGGGCTGAGATCACGCCGGGGTCACAGAGTAAGCGGCAGGCCGGCCCGCAGGTCTGCGGGCTCCAATGCCAAGGCTCTCAATAACCGCAGCCAAGGAGAGGGGCCCCCAGGCAGCGGTCCGCCTCCTCTTCGTGGAGACACAACGAAGGACATGGATGGTACACAAACGCACCTCCTCTGTGCCCCTGATTACTGAGTAAAATAAAATTCCCAAATAAAATTTGGGAATATAATAAAATAAAATTCCCCAAATGACCCCGGCATCACCAGCCAGAGCCAACAACACATGGGCCCACTTGCCCACCTCAAGTGTGCGGGGTGGCAGAAACACCCTGCCGAGACTTCTGAGGGTCTGTTGGGACCTCCTGAAGGACTCCCCACTTCCTGGTTCTTCGGTACAACCCCGATCCCGCTAGCTCCTCTCCCCACGTGGTCCCGTGGCCCCTCCGGCTGCAGGACTTGCTCGCACATCACCTTCTCTCTGGGGCCTCCTTTGACCATCGAGTCAACACTGGTGTCTCGCCCGGGACCGTGCCCGACACAGGAGAGGCCGGGTAGGACGTGTTCCGTGAATGGCACCGAGAGTGGCGCTCTGCTGCCCCGACCTCAGGCCTTTCCCCACCCCAAGGCCTCTTAACGTGTGACCACTCTCTGCAGTGCCGCAGGTTTGGTGGCATCTCTGTTACAAACAGAATGGAGTCCTATGCTCGATAAATAAAGAGACAGGCTCCCCGTGTCATGGCGGGTCCACTCCTACACCCCTGTGGGGTCCGCTTGAACCCCATCCTGCCCCCGCAAGACGAGGCGAGCTTCCAGTGAGACCTCCTCCTCCTCGTGGTAACCTCTTACATCACTCAGGACAGCAGGTCCATGGCTTTTTATGTTTTAGAAGTTCCAAAACTAACATGTTCTACCAGAAGCCCAAGAGGCCTGCCCCATCCATGCGGTCTGGGACTTGCCCACCCCTGACCTGAAGTCTAATATTTTCATGCAAAAAAAAAAAAAAAAAAAAATCCTTCCCCTACCCTCAAGCAAGCCAGTGGCTCAACTATTGAAGTAAAAAAATAACAGGCCCCATCAGATGAAAAACTTGTCAACATTCAATGACATTTTAACGTGTGTTGTTTGTGAAAGATGCAGAACAATGAAAACTGTCCATTTAATAAATGCTCTCCTGCCGTGTCAGAAATGCAGATACCCTAGGTAGAATTTGGCCCACATGATCAAAATAGAGCTGTTTTACCCGCACAGTGAAACTACTTGGGCAGAGGGGGGTCGAACCCAGGATCAGGCAGACTTTGCCACCCAAGCAGGCCTGGACCCTATGGGTGCCCCCAGAGCCTGCTTCCCCCCGGGGGAGACATGAAGTGGCCCAGCCACACTTGCCCTGATGCTCTTTCTGATTTGCCAAGTACGTAAGGGGGCGGCAGGGGAGAGACAGCTACGGCACTGTCTCCACGTGCAGGAAGCACCAGGCCGCACAGCCGGCCCTGGGTCCCTGACCAGGCCTGTCGCTGGATGAGCCCAGCAGGGATCGGGACCCACCCGGGCCAGAGCCACACACACAACCCCTCCTGGTCACGGCGAAGGCTCCCTCCCACATCCACAGCCACTGCCTCCTCTCCCCACCAAGGGACCCAAGGTCTGGTGTCCTAGGAGCCTAAGACAAAGCTTCGAAGAACAAAACAACAAAGACAGAGCCAAGATGGCAAAAACATCAGCTCCGCCTCCTGTAATACCTGGAAACTGGACGTTACAACTAAAATACAACGTCCTGTCGTGAATGGGCTTCTAAATATGGAAACAGTCACAAAGATCATTAAAACACTGAATGCCAATGAATCTTAAACTCACCCAGCTTCTTAATTTCGTGTGTCCGCTCATCTCTCGTCAGTGGGACATAATTCATCTTCCGGCCACTCTCCCCGTAGCCCAGGAGGAAACCCCGGGATCTGCGTGGACTCTTGGCTCCAGACAGGCGTGGCGCCTTCCACGCGACCGACAGCCTGTCGTCTGAGGACCGGACACGCACACGCAAGGGCCTGTTGGGCACTTCCTTTTCTTAAAGAGGACACGACACAGAAGCCATTAGACACTTTACCACCCAGAGTTTACTATTATGTGTAAGAAACCTCCCCAGACACTGACCCCAACAAGTATCCATTTTTGGTAACTAAATCTAGTAAGAACGTTATTTTTTCCCAAGGGCATCAACACTCCATCCGCATGTTCCCCCCACATTTCATGACCAGAGTTCTCAAGAACTTAAAACAAAAACACTCTATGTTGGGAGACGCTGGCCAGACATCTTGGAGGTTTGACAATGTCCCCTTTCATCTAGCTCCTTTTGCCCCCTTAAGGCCAAAACTATATATTCTCTGGCAAGAGCTAAAGGTCAGTGTAAAAATATAGCAGAGACATATTATGTGCTATTTATAACTGTCTTCCAGAAAGCGTTTTCACTGTCATGTTGAAAAGGTGGGCTTTCCTTGCCTTTACGATGAACCACAATGAGCTAAATACTAAGTGACTTCTGTTAGGGTCTTAATTTTTCTCCCATGTCTAAGTCCTGCTCCTCCAGACAGATCCTGGTCATGCTACACCATCACGGCTGTCCTCAGGGTCTGTGGTTTTCTTCCTGCTAAATTAATCAATTTTGAGAAATCCTCTTGCTAGACCCATTAATCTCAAGAAACGCTCTCATTGTTAACGTTTTCACAGCAATGCATTCTGGTGGCCAATACTTAAGTGTTTAAAGTTTTGCTTTTATGTCATGTTAAGAGCTGGCATGTTTGAGACCACATGACCTCTGCCTTGCCCACTTCTAACAGTGGACCACATTCTAGCCCTCGTTTGAGGATCCAGTTGGGCCCAGGAGAATCTCTTTAACTGTGTAAGGCAGTTACTTTCCAGGCATTCTTCCTCCACTATGTCCATCGATCCCATCATCAATTCTGACTAATTTTATTAGACTGAAAAATTCCCAGCTAAGTTAACATTTCGACACTAAGATATAAAAACAAAAACTAACACTACGAATCAGTGTGAGCTTCAATAACACAGAAATAAGTAGCCATTGGAGATGGTTATTCAGAAATGCCAGACACCTGGATCCAGCATCCTGAATCTAACCAAAACGAACTCCCATTTGTAGATTAGCTGGAGTCACTCATCAGTCCCTGGGTATTGGAGTGAACGGCCATTCCTAACAGCCACAAGAGAACACCATGTCCCCTTCAACAAGTGCTTCCCCCAATATACAAAGTAGTAGTTATTCAAAAGGTTTTAATCCAATAGTATAGTCCAGTAAAATGAGCAAATCTATTAAAAACACACACAAGGGTCTTATGTGAGTCAGTTAAACAATTAATTACTGCACGAAGACGGCACTCCCTGCCCTGGAGTTCTGCTCCAGGCTGGAAACCTTTCCAGCTTTGCATGTGGGATGGGAGCAGTGCTCCAAGAGTGCTCCTGGAGACTTCGCTGTCACCCCTGGGCCTTGGGGAGGGTTGCAGGTCTCTGCTCCAAGCAGGACAAACAGATGCATACTCGGCAACCCCTGGCACTCAGCAGTAAGATAGCAAAAAACAAAAAACAAAAAAACCCCAGTAATAATAAAGAAGACCATTGGGATTTCCTAAAGTGATGGGGTCCCTGAGGAGGAAGAAGTGAAGTTCCAAGGACAGGGGCCGGTTGCAGATGGCACAAGTTTGTTGCCTGAGGTGCCCAGCCCACAGCTCTGTCCGCACCCACACCAGCCACACCGCCCAACGGCAGGGACAAAGCTGCCCCCTGGCACCGTCCAGGCTTCCCCATCCCAGGCTCTGGCCTCACTGTCTGACCATTCCACCCGGGGCCCAAGAAGGAGGCCAGGCCTGAGCTGCTGCAGGGAACAGGGCTGAGGCTGGCTCTTGGAAACACCACATTGCCGGTTATACATAGAATTTTACAGTTTGCGACAAGCTCTCTCACGGTTTATCTTAGCTGTCCTTACAACAGCCCTGAGGTAAGCAGGGTGGACATCAGCATCCCCAAGAGAAAACTGAGGCTCACGGAGGTGAAGCAGCTAAGCTAAGGTCACACAGATGGTAGTGCCAAGCAGGGACCTGAATTCCGGCCCTTTTCAACTATGCCCTTCCACTTGAGCTTCCCCCTCTCCCCAAGCACCGTCCGGCCCACCTCCCAACCTCTTCTGCTAATGAGTGGGAAACAAAGGCTCTGAGCCCACGGGCTCCCTTCAGAGTGAGAACCACTGCCTTGCTCGGCAGGCATTAAATACAGAGAACCAGACAGCGTCTCCGCAGATAGCAAATGGACATGAGGACACTCACCAGAGACAGCCCCAGGAGGAATGGCCCCACCACGTGGAGCTCACAGTCTTGGTGAAAGCCACAGAGTAAAGTGAGAATGTCGTCCCTCTAAACACAATTATCTCTTTCAAATTTTTGGGTTTAGAAAAGTCAAACACATTTTCTTCGTGTATTTTGAAAATTTCCCTTCCTTAATATTCAGGGTTAGATATACCATCAAAAGTCCTTTATAGATCATCTGCTAATCCTGTTTTTTTTTTGAGACAAGGTGTTGCTCTGTTGCCCAGGCTAGAGTGCAGTGGCATCATCCTAGCTCACTGCAACCTCGGACTCCCAGGCTCAAGCGATCCTCCTGCCTCAGCCTCCAGAGTATCTAGGACTACAGGTACATACCGACACGCTTGGATAATTTTTTTTTCTTCTATTTTTGGTAGAGATGAGATCTCACTATGTTGCTCAGGCTGGTCTTGAACTCCTGGCCTCAAGCGATCCTCCAACCTCAGCCTCCCAAAGTGCTGGGATTACAGGCATGAGCCTCCATGCTCAACCTTGCTAATCCCCTTTTAAGCTGAGGTACACAAAGTCCTTATCTTGAAAACAGGAAGTTGTAACTGCCAAGAGTAATGGAACTCACATCCATCAGTGCTAAATATATTTCAAACTGGGCAGGACACATTCCCTCGATTACTCTGGATACAACATAACCAGGTAGGTCATACTCAGAACTGGTTGATAAAAGAAGACCTGCAGCAATTAATTACACATCATCCACTTGGCATGGAGGCTGGGTGAAACAATCATCATCTAGCTAGTAGTAGAGACGAGAAAGCCAGATGGGATTAGAATATTTTGGATTTGTATCACCAGCTTTGCAACTCGGCAAATATTCTTAAGTTGTATGGAATCAAAGTCTGTTCTTTTCATAAAGAAAAAAAATCCCAAATTCAACGTGATGCTTTGCCCACTTATAATTCTATGCTAATTAAACTTGGTAGCTTCTGAATTGGGCTTACACAGGCTCTAATGTCAATGTCTATTACTTACTGGCTATGTGACTTTTAGATTTCTTCCTCTTCTCCCATAAAATAGCACAGAGCTTACCAGGCTTTGTGATACGATCCATGGAAAGCATTCAGCACCGTACCGGGCATATGCTGTATCAGGCACACTAGTAGTTATGGTTGCTGCCACGACAAAAATGAAATCTCTCATTCATTAGATTCACGACCCGAGTGGGCAGTGCCCTTCAGAAAGGGAGCCCTGAGTTACCGCCATGCCTTGCACACGGGGGCACCAAACAGTGTTCGAAGAACCCGACGCGACCAAAAGATAGGAGTTATTGCCAAAGACCCCTTACATAGAACGTCTTTTCAAATATGAGCTTGTCTACATCCAGATGACTTTTTTTGTCACCATGAACTGAAAGCATTCTCCGTAGCCTTCATAAACATCTAACAATTATCAATTACTCTAAGTCCTACTCTTCACTGGCGTAAATAAAGCATGTCCCCTGATGTCTGGTGGCCACTTTCTCTTGGTCCAAGTCTTGGCCGGCAGGACTTCTCCCTTTCCTGCAGAACCTGAGGAATTATTCACGCTACAGCTTTGAAGAGCCCGTGGTCTGTCTGGTTTGTCCCGTTACCAACCTGACGCCCATGTGCTGACCACTCAGCCTTCAGTGAATGGAGGACACTGAGCTCGGGCGGGGGGAGTCCAGCTGTCCGGGCAGAGCCGCTGCTCAGGGCTCAGTGCACACCTGCAGCAGCTGGAGGCCCGTGGGAACACGCCCTGGTCTCCCACCGCCCCCAGCGCAGGGCCAGATTCCGGGCCTCTGTGTACTCTGATAAGCAGGCATGGCGAGGAAGAGGAGAGCAAGCCTGGAGGAAGAGGAAGGGCGGGGACAGTGTGTTGGGGAGCAGTGAAGGCCAGGTGTGACAGCCGGATGGGTGGGACGCCTGCTCTACCCGCCACACTCTGCATCTGAACTCCCCGACCCCGGCCAGGCCCAGGCCCAGCGCTGCCTCCTGACACCCCCGAGCGCGGTGAGCTGGTGCAGACGCCTTGCCAGCCTGCGTCTGCCACGGCTCGTCCCTCGGGGGCAGGTTCTGACACATAACCTTCCTGAAAGACCTTTGGGAATTGATTCACAGAACTCTTCTTCTACACACTCGCTATCTGCAATGCTTACTCTAAGGTCTCTCTTTAAAGCCATGTTTTCCTCTCCAATAAATAACTTCAATGTTTTTAACTATTTACTTAATGAGTTTTTTTTGTGATATTTGGACAGGTCCAGCTATTTAACAATGAGAAGGAGGAAGGGAATCTTATATCTTTATTCTGGAATAGTGTCTGTCCGCGTCCCGCCTTCCTTCATAAGTAATTGCAGGTACCAAGGTATAGGTATCTGGCGTACACCTTCACAGCTCCCGGTAACAACCCTTCTACAGACAAAGGAAGTGAGGCTCAGGAAGGCTGAGGGAAATTTTCCAAACCAGACACAGCGCCGAGCAGGAATTGGACCTGTAGCCCCAGCTCTCTCCGCCTCCCCTCCTGTTGAGAAGCTCGTGGTGGCGGCGGCGGAGTTGGTGTCACCAGTAGCTACGTGGGGCATAAGCACGGGGCCTACTCTGGGAGAAGGGCCTCTTGGTGCCTCCCAAACACCCGTGGAGAAGGATCTGGCATGCAGCACCAGGAACCCCTGTCCAAGACATTCTCGTATATCCATGGACTGAAAATGCCAGCAAAATTCTC